GCGACTCCGCGAAGAGCACAGCTCACCTCCTGGCCGCGTGTCACAGACTCTGGCCCATCAGCTAAAGCTGAGACCATGGACAACCCTCCCAGTTTGGGACCCTTCCTGGTGCTCAGTGACAGCACTTTGCAGCACATGCTGCGGGGACACACGTACGGAGTGTTTCCACTGCTGACGGGACAGGTCTTAAGTTGTCCCGGCGCCGCCCTCAACATCTCTGCCGGCAGCGTCCCCTCCATCATGGAGCTCCTCCACTGGCAATTCGGCCTCTTCGGGCCGCACAAATTCAAGGCGGCAGTTCAGAGTCAGCCGGTGGCCTCCATTTTGGAGAGCCACCTTGACGGACAAATCAACGTTCGCTTCATTCCGCTGTCAAGAAGCCTGCGCCCGGAGAAGCAAATCAATTATGACTACCTGATAGACGGCAGGGTCCAATATGGTTTTGCGGACAAGAACCTGCCCAATCAGGAAATCATGGATTTGGCACAGATGCCCGGTGTAGGAGGGGTAGAATGGCTCTACAACTCCAAGAATCTCCACTTCCGCCCTGATGTCGCGGACATCGTCATCCCGGCACTTGTCACAAGAGCCATTGAGGAAATGCGCAACACCCCAGGACTGCCTGTCCTCGTGGTTGCTGGCTGGAATGCCCGCCAGCAGGACATGCATGTCGAAATGCTTGCTGCCCAGGCTCTGTCACAATGCCGAACTGTCCGAGATCTTTCGGAGGTAGCCATGCAGTACGGACATGGCCCCTGGGGGATGCGCTTCACGCATCTCCCAGAATGGGAGGCCGCCCCCGTCCCGGCCCTCCTCTTCCAGACCTACGTCCACGACGAAAAGCCGGAGCCAGCCCAAGTTGCGGCCAAAATGTTTGCCGGCTTCGCCCGAAAATTCTGTGATGATGGTGTCCTTCGGGCAACCCTGCGGCAACTCGCCGGCAAGTACGGCTCCAATCTGCTGGATCGCCTCAGTCAGCCAGCTCATAGAGCAGACGTGTTCCGCTACGTCTACCACTACCAGCACGGCGGCCTCTATGTCGATATCAAATGTGGCTTTGTGGTACCCTGGGAACAGGTACTCAAGCTTCTAGCAGCAGATTGGAGCACAGCTCACTCAACGAAGGCAGGTGAAGTGGGTCACAGACCCTCCCCACCTGGCCAACTCCCAAATGAGTTCATGGTCATGGCCATTGGAGTCAAAGGAGATCACATCTTTCAAGGTATCATCTATGGCAAGCCCAGACACCCTTTGATGAGGGAAGCCATACAGCACGCCTTCAGCCGTCAGGTTATGACAGCGAAGGCGAACTTGGAATACATGACCTTCTGCAAATTTCTCTGGCAGATCTTGGGTCGAGACCTTGGACACTCCCCTCAAGCGGGATGAAATGTTTCCACCAAATTTGGCCCCATCTACCTGTTCTTGGAGCGCTGGGACAAGCGAGTGAAGAACAAAAAGTACGACAATGATGGCCACTACTTCGTGACTACCAACAACACGACAGTCGCCTACACCAGGTGCTGGAAGTGGCTGAAGGGATTTCAGGGAGACCCCACCACCAAAGAACGAACCGATCGCATGCTGCAGAGCCAGCTCCCCGACATCTCCCTGGAAATCCAGTCTGATAGACCCGAAGAGCACAGCTCACCACAGCCACTTAGGTCACAGACCACGGCAACCGCCACATCGGCTCCTCCTCCTCCCACTCAGGAGGATATTGAAACCTATGTAGCCGATAGCATCCAGCACAACTCCTTTGCAGAGATCATGGCCACGGTCCGTGCGACCCACCACTATAACCACGACCTTACAGAGCAGGATGTGCTGGAGCTTATCCCTCGCGGATTGGGGCAAGTGGAAGTTTCAGGAGACATGTGGCTATGCTGTTTGCACTGCCGGAAGCACAACAGGCAGGTGCAATTCAGTACTAGTCACGGCCTCAAAAACCACTTCGTCACGCAGAAGCATAACCCGACACCCAGCGCCATGCCGGCATCTGAGACACCTCTTCCTCCCCCTCCCCCAAAGCTCCCACAGGAGATTCCTCTCCCCCCCAGCAGTACCAGGACCAGAGGTACAGACAAAGCAGCCGGCTTTGAGCTGCCGCCCTCTCCCCCGTGCCCTTTCACTTCCTCAGCTGCTGAAAAGGCAGCTTTCAAAGCAAGCCAAGCAGAAACACCGAAGGCGACCCCAGCGCTTCCGGCTAAGGCCCCACCAACGGTGCCCATCCCTTGCCCTCAGCCTCCAATTTCCTCCTCGGCAGCTCCAGCTCCCCCTCCGGCGATCCCTGTTTCCCCGATCCCTCCGCACCCTCCCAAGTCCGTTTCTCCTCCAGCCCCTGCCACCCAGGCCGCTCCGCGTTCCCACACGCCCCCTCCTCCTTCTTCCCGCCCCCCGTCAGCATATGAGCCTCCGGAATCCAATGCGGAACTCGTCGGCTATGTCCCACAGCCGGCTCCACAACAGACAGTACGTTACACGCGGCAGGAGCTGGCTCAGCTGCTGAGCTCCCAGTCCCACCAGGATTGGATTCGGGCCTTGGCTTCCATCAACATCCTGGTGGCTCCAGTCATTCTTGGCGGCCTCACCAACCATGAGCAACAGACCCTTTGGTCTACCAGGATGGAAGCACTCCGCGAAGTTCCCCCGCTGTTCTCTGCCATCAAGTCGGTAAGGACGCAAACAGGCCTCACATGGGACACCGCCATGTCGGTGAGGCGGGTCCTCACCAGCGATGGGAAGGTCACTATAGCCACAGGCGCGGGAGACGCCTATCGCGAGCTGGATGCCCCCACAAAGGTGCATGGCCTTATCCATGCCTGCTTCAACAAGATGTGGGACGAAAAGGCCTTTCAGCAGCACTTCCCCTCGTGGGTCGAGTTCAACATGATCGCCACCACCATCGTGGCAGTCTACAATGAGACGGCCAAATCAGCCGGACTCCCAGCTCGTGTCTTTAGGGTCAAACCCGACAAAAATGCTGACTCCATCATGAAGATGCGGATCCAGCACGACAAGGGGCACGAGGAGGACAAGCGCATGGCCAAACTGGCTGCTGCTGCCCCCAACAAGCGCCCACAGATGCAGGCGGCTGACACAGAAGGCAAGCGACAGCGCGATGGCCCCTCCTCATCTTCCTCGACCCAGTGGGCCAGACAGGCACGCTCATCTCAAGAAGACGACTGGGACTGGTGGCAGCAGTGGTCCTGGCACAGTTACCAGCAGTGGCCAAAAGGTCATGACCAGTGAGGGCAGGAATATGTCACAGACTCTTGGATCCCTTATGTCACAGACTCAGGGAATTCGGCACTCTTCCGACGCTTAGCAAATCTCTTCGGAAGCCTGTGAACCGCGTGCTCACCTCGCTTAAAACAGCACTTCGCTCTCCAGCGAGTTGCCACGTCCAAGCTGCCCAAAGCCTCACTCCACCGGAGTTGTTTTCAGGTACATGCGGTCATGAGCACATGACCCTTACGGCCTTCTGTCTTCAACATGAGTAATCCGTGTGGGACGCCACGAGACGGATACTCCAGGTGTCGGCTTCGCCCGAGGTACGGCCTAATTGTTGAGACAGGTGCACAGATGGACGCGTCTGTTCACACCAAGGTGTCGGAGGAGGAAGCTTTTGTAGCAGTAGTCTGTCAAGTTCGAGCTGATTAGAGAGATCTGAGCGATGCATGCTAGAAGCAGTTTCACGAGTGCACGAGACCAAAGGCGCCCGCAAAGCGCAGAGCACGCTCGCGCAGCGTTCAATTGAAAATAGTAGTAGATGTAGACGATTGTAGTACATGATTATGATGGCGATTACAAAGATGATGATGTTGATGATGATTACGATCATGCAGCTGTGGTAGGCATAGGAGTCGTTGTCGCAGTGGTAGAGACAGTGGTAGTGGTCCTCGTCATGGTAGTGGTGGTCTTCGTGGTAGTAGTAGTCGTCGTGGTTGTGGTCGTCGTAGTTGTGGCGGTGGCGGTGGACATCCCAGTATCAACAAAGGATAGTCGCACTGGCCATTACAATGGTGGAAGTTAACAGTGTTGATCAGGCTTTCGCTGACCTTCACACGCTTCTTATTCATGCTGTGGTGAGGGCAAAGCCCGAACCCCCGAACCCCTCTTGTCCGTGGCCCGCGTGATGAATCTGCTGGTGTTTACTCTAAACCCATACCAGCCCGTGCCAAGCGCAGCGGTTGTCTGGATCCCCTCAATTGATTAGATTGCGGGGGTATGAAGCGACAACAGCAAAGCTAGGCCACCCTAGGCATTGGTAAGGGCCTATTGGTGTGCAGAGGCACACGGTCTCAGTGCTGACGAAGTCAGCAGAGAAGGCGTAGTGAGTGCAGGCGATGGAGTTGCCGAAAAGATGCGGATTAAAAGCCAAAGCATGCATGAGGCCTGCTTGAAGAGTTCGCTTCAGGGCTAAAGGCTAAAGAAAGGTTTACCATCAGGGCTCTGTACGGTGCTGTAAGGGTTACCGCATGTCACTAGAAGCATTCGCCACAGAAGCGAGCACTTTGAGGACCGTAATTTACGCGTGAACAACGCTCTATTTTTTGGCATTCGCGCATCCTTGTGGCGAATTGCTTGGTTCAAGAAGTAGGAACATGTAGGAAGTAAGTTTGGTTGAATTGAAAAGAGCATGCTGCTGGGCAACAAGTTTTTCAACACTCGGATAGGGTCGTAAGGCAGTGGAACACAGCGAACCCAGAAACCAAGTCTGCAGACATATTTCCGGCCGTCATGTGACGTAGCTAGCCTAGTGTAGGTTGCCGAGCCTGTGTGCCGACAGCGAGGGTACGATGCGACGAGCCGAGAGCAGAGGTCTCGCTTGTCCGAAGGAGCCGGACAGAGCAGCAAACATGCAAACCTGAGTGCCACGATGGCTGCCGAGATGACTCTAAAAGACCATGCAAGCGCTGAGGGCATGCGAAGCTTTCATTTTTTTCGTTGGGCTTCAATCGGGGAGCTTCTTGCGCACGTTGGAGAGTCCAGGACAGATGGCGAAATGGCAGCTTGGAGAGCCAGGCGCCTTCGCTTGGCAGCGGTGAGCTGTTTCAAGCGTCAGACTCGGGCCGAGTCGTGATCCAAACCTGGCTGAGAGTTTGGGTGGAGCTGGGTCTCGGCACCAAGTAATTGCTGTGACTGCAGCGGGCTGGGGCGGTGGCAATCGCAGTGGCGGTGGTGGAAGCAACTAACACGGCAGCTGTCTCTGAGACATGCAGATTCTCCGGAAGTCATGAGGACGGCCGTGTCATCAGACGATCATGATTCACGCAAGCGAATTTTTCAAAACACCGTTACCTTTCTCCCGGTTAGATGGACCTTTGAGAGAGTGCCCATGCCCGTGAGAGCTCCTCCCATCGTGGGCCCAAGCCGCGAAGGTGTCTTTGGTCTCACCGGGTGCCACATCGGAGCTTGCCAGCCCTCCCAGCCTCGGGCGGCTGGGAGGTTCTCCCGGCCACGTCTCGAAAAGTCTCCGAGCCTAGCGCACCTTCGGCGCAAGAGGAGTTGTTGCTGGTCTTGGGGTTCAGGAAGCTCCTGCGCAATCGTCTCGTTGTTCAACGGACGTTACCCCGAGGTCCAAGAACAAGCGTGCACGTGCTCAAATAGAGCAGAGCGTTCCTTCCTCAGACCTGGAAGCAGCATTTCCATGCTGTCCGTTGTCCACCTTGAGCTCCAAGTTGTGATGATTCCGTCGAAATCTCAGCCTGCAGGTCTTTTCGCAGTGGCGACCAGTGGAGATCCCAGCAGAGGTGTGCGGTTTGTAGAACTGGCAGCGACCGTCGTTTCTGGTGCCAGAACCCGCGCACGTGTGGATGCTAATTTCGATTGGCTACAGCTCCTCAGTCGGCATGTGCCACTACCGGCATGAGGCATTGTGAGGCCGAGCAGGTGTCGCATCTCTTCGCCAGGAAGAGGCTTCCCCGACGAAAGGCGGCGCTCGCGCATTGCAAACGGCACAGGAGAGGGACCTAGGTTGAAGAGCTAACGACTTAAGAGAAAAACAGAGTGTTTTTTCTTTTTCTCATTGCGAGGACGGTGGAGAAGAAGAGGACGAAGAGGATGAAGAAACCAGAGAGCGATTGTTGGATTGGCGACGCGAACCCGACGAAAAAGAAGCGTGCTTCGGTCGCAGCCGGAGTTTGCCTTAGCAGGCGTTCAACCTACCCAGGAGGTGTAAGGAAGACGTGATTATCTACCGTCATGACCATCCAACTCCATTCTAAAGGTCCCTCGGTGGAGATAGATTAGATTTGGAGTCTTGCCTGTCTGCAAAACCTTCGGTAAATGAGTTAGGGGTCAAAGGTCTTCGGGGAGACCCCAAAAGTGTTCCAGCGGCCGTCATCATGGTGAACCAATGGGTTAAATACAGGCCGCTGGCTCCTTGCAGGCTCTGTGCTAGCTGCACGCCAGCCCACATGTGGAGTAAGAAGCGGCCTGGGCAAAGGGTCCCAATGCACGACAGAACAGACATCGTTGGGCCGCTCATCACAAGCCCTGAAGCAGCCCACGATAACCCCTTATCATGGGTTGAGGCAGGTTCACAATCAGACCCTTCCAAGTTCAAAACCAGCCCTTACTGTAGCCGTCCTACAAGAGGCCCTTAGAACACCATAGCACCTCGCAGCTTTGACATTTTCGAGTCGCAAGCTGGCATTCTGCAAAGGTATCGTTTTTCTTTTGCCAACGACGGGCTACGCAACTACTACCGCTTTTAGGTCAACTCCCGGAAATAATATGGACTGGCGCCCTGTGTCGAACTTTTTGTCTGCCGCCACCTGATTTCCCAGGCCACGGGGCAAGATGACTCTAACCAGCTCCCACGACATCTCTGCGCGCATGCGCTGGCAGGCAGGGCGAGGCCTGTTTCATTATCGGAGCCCGCTCTGCGTCTCTGCACAGGTGGCCTTCGCCAAGGTCAGAGAAAAGACCGGTGTCGCCAGGCGGAACCAGCACCGCATCGCCCTCACGAACAAGGTCAAGGACGGCGCTGGCTTGCCCATGCAGCGCTCTGGGGTCTCGTGGTCTCCTGGCACTGAACCGAGGAGTACCTCATGTATACCAACAGTCGAGGCAGCAAGCTGAGCCGATTGGACCCCCCGTGCCAACATGGCCTTTTGGGATGTGCTGATTTGCCCGAGGCTCCTGCACCAAAATGGTGAGGTCACTGGAAAGCTATGACAGGTCCACCTGGATGGAAAGGGAGGAGATATCCTACAAGAGGCTGCTTGACGAAAAAACTCCTTTCTTTCACTTTGGAATTGAAGGCCGTCGACAGGTGGGCAAAGTGCAACACAGCCCCTGCCGCCACAGTGGCCGAGGTTCACGGAGGGTTTGCTTGATGAAGCCGAGACCTGGGTGTCGAAGAATTTCGAGGACATGCAAAGTGCCCTGGAGCCGGCAGCTGGGACGTGACACTGTCGATAGTCCACGCATGTCCACGCACCACTTCGTGTGCGAGTCGTTCGATCTGCTGTTAGATTTGGCAGGTCGTGTTAAGCGAGCCGAAGCGGCAATATGACATGAACGAGTTCGAGCGCATGCTTCGCATGAACGAGCAGGCGGGGGCAGGTAGCGGGAGCTCGTAGGCGGTGCATCCTAGGGAGCTTGCACCCCATGCGTGGCAGGAGAATGAGTGGTTGGATACTCAGCGACGGAAGACCGACGAGCTAATGGACGTCCACGTCCGGCTGGTGTCCCGATCCACGGCGAGCATGGCCGACTCCATCGCCAGGGTTAAGCAGGTGGGCCCCTGGGCCCCGGTCGGGGAATCAATAAGTAAGGGACCTCTGGTTTCCTGAGGCCTTGACATCGCTGGTCAACGAGATCGCCGAAGGACTGGCTTGACATCCCCTGTTCACTCCCCAGCCATGCTCAGCCTGAATTAGGACTGCGTCGGCACAACAAGCTGGTGAAAGAGCACGAAGCCACAGAGGCCGAGCTCTATGAGCTGGCCCGGAAGCAGAAGCTACTGCTGCTGGGCTTGTGAGGCACCCCTTTCCGTGGGACGGGTGTAGCTTGAAAATCTGAGGCAAACGGCTCTTGAGGAGTTCGAGGTGCGTAAGAAGGAAGCCACAGATCCTTGGACGAAGAGAGTGTTGCAGAATTTTTGCCCAAGCTTGAGTTGTGTCTGGAAATTTGCCGCACGACTCTTCAGCGGGGAAATTCTCCAAGCCGTCTTCAGGACAGGTACGCTCGAGAGCTTGAGACCCTGAAGACCGAGTACGGAAAGCTGAAGCGAGCAGTGGAGACCGCGCAGTCAGCTCTGGCCGTTTGGGCAGATTTGAAGTTTAGAGATCTGCGCCTTATGGGCAGTGTAATTAATGACTTAAGTCATGTTGGAGTCGCCCCCGGTGTTCACGGAGGTTAAGGACAAGGAGAGGTACAACCAGTTCTGGAGAAATCTTCTTGCATCGTTGAAGTCCAAAATCTCGGATCAGCTCGATGTATCTTGGCGGCAGGATGCAGCATTAGCATTGGGTCAGGAATGGAGAGGATGTCTCCCTGCCAGGTCTTGGGGCAGGCACACATACAGCGCATCCGACGGCAGTGCGAAGTCCACGAACGACAAGGCATCATGAGGCCAGTGATCCTACGGGGACTCCACGACAGCCTCGGCACACGTGGCACATGCACTCGAGGCGCAGCACGCTGGAGAAAGAGATCCAGGAGCTCAGGCGGCGTCTGAAGGAAAGGCGGACGTACCTCCAGGACGGGGCCGAAACCCGCCCCTCGCCTCTTCAGCTTCGAAGTTGGCCGCAGCGCTGGCCAGGAAGCGCGGATACGGCAAGAGCTGACCGACCTGCGACAGGCTGCCGAAGCATCTCCATGTTGAGTCTTTGGACTTGCGCTGTACGCGTGCTGCATGCTTTGCTATAAGAAGTGCTGCGGCCTGAGCTATCGTCCAGAAACGTCTCTCCTTCGCAGAGGAAATCTACGAAGCGAGGCTGCTCCTCTTTGAGCTGAAAGCGCGGGCTGGGGTGCCCTGGCTAAGTGAAGGTGTCAGCATCCGGTCCATACCTCGTCCATACACAGAGGGTGCGTAGCATTGTGCAGCCCAGTGAGCAAGAGGAGGCGCTCGCCACGATTTGAGAGAACGAGGCTTCCCAAATCCCTCTCAAGTCCATACCTTGCGCTCTTCGCTTGCTATGCTGCAGATTCCAAGGAAGTGTCGGAGACTGGCGAGCCCGCCCGGATCTCAATTTCAAGATCACTGCTAGCACGATGTTCATTTGGCCATTCAAAAGTTACGAACACAGGCAGAGGGAGAAGTGCTGCAAAAGCTGTGGAAGACGGGGGATGCAACCAACATGCCGGAGTCAGGAGGGCTGCCTTCCGTCGTACACGGGATCTTTTCCACAGCCTGACGCCCCTGCGCAGGACTGCTTCCCCTGTTGGTCCAGCAGCTGCAGATTCAGAGGCAGTGGCTGCTGGATCGGGGTCGGGGGCTTAAACGCGAAGGTGCTCACAAATGACGCGGTCGATGGAAACCCTAAGCCCTAGGCCATCCTAAGCCCTAGACCCTAAACCCTAAACCCTACCTTAACCTACCAAACCCTAAGGCCCTCCTGTTTTTGTAGGTTCTTCTTCTAAACCATAATATGGAATTTATAGATTTATGGGGACCCTACAAAAAAGTAGGTTTTTGTAAAAAGAAGTAGTTACCGACCTTCTGAGGCCAGAGCTTTTCCCTGAGTCTGCGACGACTCCTTCCGAAAGGCAGGGAGTGGTCTTCAGGTTATGGGGCTCGGGGTTTAGGGTTTAGGGTGTAGGATTTTTGGGGCTTAGGGTTCGGGGTTTAGGGCGGAAGGTTTAGGATTTAGGGTTCGAGGTGTAGAACTTTCAGCTACAGACTGCTACTGCACCTGCTACCGATACTACTACGACGACGATTTCTGAGACGACAACGAAGACGACGATCACCGCGATCCAGAGGACTGACTACTACTGATTACTACTGCCACTACCTGCTACCGTCGGCACCACTGCCACCACTGATTGTCGTCGTAATGTCGTACTGGCAGAAGTAGCAGCAGTAGTAGTAGTAGTAGTCGTCGTCGTAGTAGTAGTAGTAGCAGCAGCAGGAGTAGTAGTAGTAGTAGCAGCAGGAGTAGTAGTAGTAGTAGTAGCAGCAGTAGTAGCAGCAGTAGTAGTAGTAGCAGTAGTAGTAGTAGTAGTAGTAGTAGTAGCAGCAGGAGTCGTAGTAGTAGTAGTAGTAGTAGTAGTAGTAGTAGTAGTAGTAGGAGTAGTAGTAGTAGTGGTGGTAGTAGTAGTAGTAGTGGTAGTAGTGGTAGTAGTGGTAGTAGTGGTAGTAGTGGTAGTAGTGGTAGTAGTAGTAGCAGTAGTAGTAGTAGCCGTAGCAGCCGGTGCAGAAGGAGGAAGAGGCAGAGGAAGAGGCGGAGGAGCAGGAGGAGCAGTAGGAGGAGGAGCAGGGGGAGGAGGGCGAGGAGGTAGGAGGTACGAGTAGGAGCGGAGTGCGAGCGGGAGCGGGAGTAGGAGCAGCGACAGCAGCTGCAGCAGCAATGGAGGTCGCAGTCAGAGCAAAGAAGAAATAGCAGCAGAGACAGAACAGTCTTGCACTTTGGCCTTCAGGAAATCGGCTGCTCTCGACCCCAATGTCTTTGCTGCAGCTGGTTTCGGAGGTCTTGCAGCAGAGAGAACTTGCTGCCTGGCCAACACCGGAGTTTTCGACTCATCTGTGGTTTTGGCCTGTTTTGTCCATTGTTGCGATGTGCGAAGCTGTCAGGATGCGAGTGAAATGCACCTGGGCATGCATACTGTGGCTTTGAAGGCTTGCCAGAAGAACTTTGGAACAAATTTGGCCGATGAATTTAGCACTTTTGGTCGATTCGTAAAGGGCGCCTTGAAGCCGCAATGTGTAGGGACGGTGGCTTGGGACAAAATGCCGCCTTGAAACCCACCCTTAGTTCTGAACTTGTGGGCGGGTTGGTTGATGCTGCATGTGCCCCGGAACTTGTTGCTGTTGATCTTTCTCCAGTGACTCGCTTCTTGCTGCCATGGCATGTCCTCGTTTGTATCCCTACGTGGGCTAGGCGTTGTGTGTAAACCTCAACTTTGAAGGATCTTACGCCTCACTTGATAACGGCAAGCAGGTGACCCGGCCAACTCCTGAGTTGCTAAACAGCCGAGGTCCCGAGAGAAGCTGACGAAGGTTTTCCGGTCGGAGCTCACGCGCCAGCGCACGGAGGCCCTGCTCACAGCTTTGTGGCAACTGTCATGTTGACGATCAACTAACCCCAGCTTTTGGGCTGGTTCATTCTAGGTCAACAATCGTCACTCGTGTTGCATGTCCGTACTGTGCATCTTGGCGAAAGGGATAAAGCAGTCACTGGAGAAGCGACAGTTGCGGCGCTTTTCGAATCGTGCCAACATGTCGACAAGCGGAAGTATACGCAACACTGTGCAGAGAGAGTTACGGAGAAGGGGTGGTTGCGGCCTTGAGAAAGGAAGGAGAAAGCTCGCAGAGTTTGGATTGACCAGTAGCAGACGGGTTCTTGCACTCACGATGTTGTAAGGATGGCCATGGCTTTAAGGGGCACGGTTTTCATTTTTACCAGCAACGGATAGTACGACCGAATTTGGGCACACGATGGCACACGTGAATCGCATCTCTGTGTCGCAAAGCGACCAAGCCTACGTGCAGGGATGTACGGCGACTGCCTGAACATCGGTATGCTGATAATGAATTTCAGACAATACTAGTACTCGTGCTAATGATGTTAGCACTCGTGCTGAGTACTACTGCTGCTGCTACTAGTAGTACTGTACTCGTAATGCCAAGACAGCAGTGGCAACAGCACTAGCAACAGCAGTTCCAAAACCAATAATGGCAATGATCGTGGTGGTGATCATGAACATTATGAGGGTCATCATCGCAACAACAGGGTTAGTGAACAAATTAGAGTACTGAGAACAGTAGTACCATCATTAAGATTCATCATAGTTTCATAATCCCTGAACCCTAAGCCCTAAACCATATTGGCTGCCAGGTCTTGAGTCTGGTCGTGGCCACTAGCCTGCACTTTGGGACTACGATGCCTCAAGTGGAAGTTTCAGTTCGATCCGGTTGTTGTGGGATGGTCGAGGTTATTTATAATCCGATCAACTCAACCCAGCCAGACAAAATCGCAAGCATTCCACCGAGAAGGGCTAGAACTGCAGCTAGATGGATAGGAAGATTCAGATATGTGGATGGTGGGGGTAGGTAGGTAGGTAGGTCGGCAGGTGGACAGGTGGTTCCGCCAAATAGTCTGTCGGGGCCCGGGTTCTGATCTTTGGTCTGCAAAGGGCCATGCTTAAGCGACGGCGACAACCAACACCCGTCAGGATGTGAGATCATCGCCGTCATGATACACACTCGCATCCTCGTCGTGCAATCTTCATCGCCATTATCACTTTTTTCAGAACAATAACCGAATCAATCTTGGCGATGTAGGGTAAGCATCCGGAAGCGAGGACCTGAGGAGCTGCGGCAGGGAATGCGGCTATAACCCCCAAACTTCCTAAACCCAAACCCCTATCGAAAAGGAGCCCGTAAACAATAAACCCCAAACCCTCTGATGTACCAGCAAACGCAACCCCTAAACCCAAAACCCTTAACCTTCAAACCCCAAAACCGCTACAAGTCCCAAACAAGGACATGCAGCAGGGCCAGATGGACATCAGCGGCCTCCTGGCCTCTGATGACGTCTACGTTGCATTGGAGGAGTCCATCCGCTCGCTGGAGGTCTGCAGAGGGTTCCTTTAAGGGGGTTCCTTGAAGGTTTCCTTTAAGTGTTCCTTTAGGGGTTCCTTTAAGGGTTCCTTTAAGGGTTCCTTCAAGGGTTACTACAAGGGTTCCTTCAAGGGTTCCTTGAAGGGTTCCTTTAAGGGTTACTATGAGGGTTACAATAAGGGTTACTATGAGGGTTACTATAAGGGTTGCTACGACGAGGGTTACTATAAGGGTTACTATGAGGGTTACTATAAGGGTTGCTATGAGGGTTACTATATGGGTTATACTATAGGGGGTTTAGTGTTCTTGGTAGACTCCCTGGTGCTTAGTAGGGAATGGGGGAATGGATATTGGGGACCATTCTTGGGGATGCTGTAGGTACAGTTATAGGATTCCTATAGTAGTCCATATATACTCCCCAATAATAGTCTCCATTATCCATTCCCCCGTTCCCTATTAAGAACGCGACAGTCTTAGAGTTCATGGATGAGGGCTTCGAGGGCTTTAGGGGCTTGTCCTTCGGGGTTTCTTGGGAAGCAAGCTGGGCTTAGGAATGGGAGGTTGGATTTCGGAGCTGGATTTGGAAGTTGGGTGGGGCGGGCGGGGGGGGGGTGAGGGGGTGGGGGTGGGAGCAGTTGATGATGACATGATGAAGATATGATGATGACTTCACGATGATGACGACGTGTTGATGACGACATGATGACGACTATGCAATACTGGATTTAATTTAGTGGCATGTTTCCTGAACAGTGTCATCACCATCACGAAGTAATCGTCAACATCAAGATAGTGATCATGGTCGCTCACACCATCATCATCACCACCACATCAACATCATCATCATCATCATCATCATCGCCTTCATCATCAGCATCATCATCATCATCAGTTCGTCGGGATATCATTCTGACGATGCCTATCCCCGTCTGCAGGCCACCAGAAGATCCCAGGAAGCTCTGGTAGAGAGCTGGACCCGGCTTTCCAATCACTCAACCACGGACTCCACGAACTTCACCTGGGTGCAAGAAGAGCTGACTCAGAAGCTTGAGGACTTGTGCTTATGCTTGCGAGTTTTAGGATCCGAAGGACTTCGTTTTGCGGGGACCAGGGAACCGTGTTGCTGAAGGCTGAAGCTCTTGGAACAGTAGAGTCTATGAAGTAGTCCAGCCTTGCCTTCGGCAATGTTCCAACTTCGTGTATGTGTTCGTCTTCTAGGCCGTCTTCTTGGGAAGAGCTGTCTTCCGGGCCCCTTGCTGCCAGGATTTGCAGAAAGGTTTGACACTGGCAGAGACGTCCACCAAATGGCTCCAGGCACCGACGCAGAACAGCTCTCTGGTCCTGGCAGATCTGACGACTCGAGAGGATCGGCAAATCGAGGTGTTTTGAAAATGGGGCTTCTATGCATAGAAGTTAGGCCTGTTGCTACTCAGGCTCGCATTGGCTCTGACTAGACTCACGGTGAATGCGCCACTTTCGAGCCTTGAGCCCTGAAGACCGAACTGTGCAGTGAGGGTTTTCCGGCACCCTTGCATCTGCCTGCATGAGCATACTGTGGTCTAGGCGAACCAGGAAAGTTTAGAACAGGCAATCTTCCTCCCAAATCCTAAACCTTCTACGCCCCACGTCGTAAGAAATCCTCGGAGCCCTGAGAAGCCGAAGCTTTGGAGGAGATGCGCTGGCTCACGGACCTGACCCTGAAGCTGGGAGAGCGGTGTGGGCGGCTCAGGGCTGGAGCTCTGCTGGTGGAAGAGGCTCCATCGCAGAGTCCTTGGTTTCAGCGCAAGTTTGGGGTTTAGTCACGGACAAGGGGAATTTGGATGACGGCCGTCTTCATGAGAGAAGAGTCTTGGCAGCTATCCCCCAGAAGCAGAATAACATTAATTGGCAGTCCTCCTGACGGGAATATCATCATACCGAATCATACCTGTATCAGCAGTGCAATGTTTGCATCGATACGAGGCTTCATGCGGATGTGCAACATCTTCTTATCACTTTTTTCAATTTGGTTGACACCCTGGGCCAGGCGCAAGACAAGGATGCGTTACTCGACTGCACAGCGTCAGGGTTGGGTTGGCACTCACAGCAGGTGGTTTTGATGCGGAAGTTCTGGGAGCCAACAGGTGTCCCTTCAGCCTTTGCGATGTTCCGCGAGTGGACTCATTGGAGGGCTGCTGAACAAAAGTCGATTCCATCTCGGTGACGGCGTAGTGATGGTACAGGTGATGATGAACCTTGTTGCTTCTTGTGGCCATTAATATTAGCTTGCTCATTTGCTGCCTGAACCCAGTATTCAGTGAGCCAGCGCAGGGTCCATGCAGCGGTTCCACGGATGAGCAAGAACTCGCACTGTGAACCCTGAACCTGAACCCGAAGCTTCCCTAAACCCGGGGTTTTGCTGGCTTCTTGCCCGACGTGACCGAGGTCGGATGGAACCTACCATGCCGTCGGAGGCTTGCTGATGGGCCTCCCCGCAGTCGTGGATGAGGAAAAAGGGGGGCGTCATGAAGCACGGCATCAAGACGAAGTGAAGTGGTGTCGCAGTATACCGGAAATAAGTATAATAGCAATGCAGATCTTGGATTCCCATCTGCTCCAGGCTAGCACAACATGCCCGCCCCCCACCCCCCGGCAACAAAAAAAACGATGCCGCTCGGCCCCAATGTACGTGAGTGTATGTATGAACTGAGCGGTGCTCTGCTCGTCACCACACGCCGCTGCCTGTTGAAGCCACTCGTTCTGCCTCGGTTAGTCTTGTTCTCTTGAGCATTATAAATGTTACGTTTGTTCTTCTTCCCCTTCACGCTGTTGCTTATCATGATCGGTAACATGCCGGCCTGCGAGGACATGGTCGCCCTCAGCCAGACCTGGACGAAGCGTGTGCAGCTGAATCTAGAGAAGCGGCAGAAGCTCCATGGCGAGTTGGCGTCTGCGTGGCCTGACTGGAATTTCATTGTATCCAAACGTGAAGATGACTGCCCTCGCGATTCCCTGGCCTTGTTCGGCCAGTGCCATCACTGCGATCGTTACAGCTCGCCGGCTTCGAATGTGTGCCAGGTATCGCCGCCTCTCCGTGCATCAGGCTCCCGTAAGAGCTGCATCCGTCCAATTTTCCTCTTTGGCAGTTCATGATCCTGATAGACACCCTTGTAGTACCCTTCCTTTGGAGCTTCTGCGTTGCAGGGCGGACAGAGCGTGGAGTCCGTCTTCGAAGGCGTGGACTCGTTGAAGATCATGCTGGAAGATGCAGAGTTCGCAGAGACAGGGGCGCAGGACCGGTGTGCCCAACGAACTGCGCAGTTTTTGGAACATCCGCTGACACTGAAAAGCACGAGGGCATGTGCTGCAGATGGTAGGAGTGCGGGAAAAACCTGGCTGCACGGCTCAGGACGACATGACCCCGGCGGAGCTCCTCAGCATTCTCCATGCCACTGCTGCGCGCGCTCCTTTGCAGCAAAGGATGCACGGGGTGTGGGCAGAGGAGGCAAAAGCCGACACAGAGACGTTTGGAAGGTTCGGAAGGAAGCACGTTCTGCACTTGCTTGTTCTCAGGTTTTCCAGCAAAGCGATTCGTACCATTGGGTGCGATCCTGAGCTTGTTGGACCTTACCTGTGAATGTCCAGCCGGAGTTTATTGAGGCCATGGTTGGACTGGGCGGCTTAGATTCCATGGCCTCAGAGGCAGTGGTGCACGAGCAGGCAGGGCACGGAGTGGCCAAAAACATCACCTGAGATCATGCACGCAGAGAAGATGCAGGCCGTTCGAGCGCAGACAGCCCCTCGCGCTCCTCGGCCCCACAAGGACGAGAAAAGAGGTAAAAGGAGCTAGGGGAGCAGAAATCCTGGTGCAAGTCGGACATCTCGCTACAGATATCACCAGCGCCATCATATTATCTGTCACAATTGTTAGCGACAGAGTCGTTCTCATTCCCCTTCTGCTCCTCATCCTTCGCAACATGATCTCCTTCCTCTGCGGCATCGCACCGGCAACATCAGCATCATCACCAGCCTCACCATCATCTCATTGCAGCATGTCGCGGTCGTGACGTTTTCTCGTCGCAATCATGATCGCATCATCAACATGCTGGTCGGGGATATCAGCCGAGCAGAAATCTTCCATCTGATCAGGCATGGACCTTCGTGGCATAGATCGTCTCGTGTCTTTGCCTGTCTCAACTGACAAGGTCGATGAAGAAACCTCCGGAGAGGACATGGTTTCGTTCTCGAACATGAACTTGCTGGATGACCTCTCCGCTGTGGATGATCTTCAAGGACCAGGGACCAGTTAGCGGCGCAGCGCCCAGCATGAAAACTAGATAAAGACTGCCCCGTCATGACCGACCGAAGCCACCTTTCTCAAACTGGTAGTTATGGAGTTCCTTCTGGACACCCTTGTTCGGAGTCCAGGACATATCACGGAGCTGGCAGACTTTGATCAAGAGGTGCAGCTGCTGTTGTGCTGTTCATGTTGCTGCAGCCTGCAGCAAGCTCGTGAAAATCTAAGGTTGTGAGCCAGCTGGCTGAAGGCTTAAAGCTGCCTACTCAAGTCGAGCGCACTCTGATGGAGGCCACACCAAGCATTGCTTTGTTACCTTCGGATTCCTTAGGTACCTTGCATTCTGAAGTGCCGGGTCGACAGACTGCCCCTGCGTCCAGCCCAGCAGGGAGATGAAGAGGAGGATATTCTGGAAAGCGGAGAAGAAGAGTTTCAAGAAGAGGCTAGATCCTTCCACGTCAAGCAGATGGGGGAGGGAGGGACGTTGGCTTTGATTCGGGCGCCCGAGGATGAAGAAGAGGCTGCGGATGAGCCAGATCTAACTGTCCCAGCCGCGAGGGAAGAGCCTTTCATGCCTCCAGACGCGGAGTTGGCTGCAGTGGAGGCCCCACAGCTGACTTATGGCCCTTGAGGGTTTCAAGATGCTTTGGGTAAAGTTGGCAAGACGACAGGGCTTCACTTTTGCAGTTTTTCTGTTCCTGGGTAGCCCGTGGCGTCTGAGAGAACTTCATAACACACTGGCCTAGAGAGTTCAGTCCAGCGGCACACTAAACCAACATCTGGGTCCAGTGCAGGAGATCGGTCCCGAAGAGGGTGCTGTTACAGAGCAAGGCCAGGCCGGTGTCCTTTTCGTTCGTGTCAATTTTGTGAGTTATTGTGAGTTATGACGAGAAACAGGAATTGCTGCAGCTGTGGCAATGTGCGCAAGAATTCAGAACAAAGATGATGGCACAGTAGCTGCTGGTGGGAGTATCGGGTAGTGGTCGTAGCATTCTCAATATGGATACGTAGCACTTGTAATAGCAATTAGTTAGTAGCAGCAACAGCAGCGCAAAAACAGTACTGTAGCATGATGAAGGCCGTCGCACCAACGGCAATGGTTGCAACAATGCGGGGCTAAGCAGTCTTGGTAGTCGTCTTCGTTGTGGACTTCTTTGATTGGCAGCCGGTCTGATACGATTACTTCTTCGCACTTGCTGCCTACAACAGTCCGAAGGACGAGGCATCAGAGATGAAGAAGACTTTGCTCCCGAAGCAGACGCTTTGGACCCAGCTGTCCAGAGCGATCAGCAGTTGTTGTGGCCACAGCCTCACGGTGGCCCAGGCAGTTGAAATCCGAGAAGATGTCGGAACTCATGACAGCGGCCATGGGAGCCGCTTGGAGGGCAGTGGGGGCCGCAAGAGACCAGGGGGCCAAGTGCTTCTGAAGTCTCAGGTCCTTCGGGCCCTGCGCTGCCAGAAGCGCCAGAGTCACCCCGGACGCCGCGGACGCCGAGGACGCCACGAACCCCTTCCAGCCCCAAGAGCAGTGGGAAGCCGAAGGCTTCGAAGGAGTCCCAGAGTCCCAAGAGCTCCAAGACGAAGGGAGCGCAGGGCCAGGAGCCGGCCAGCCCGAAGACTCCAAAGAGCCCGGGAAGCCCCCGAAGTCCCCAAAGCCCAAAGAGTCCCAAGAGCCCGAAGCGCTCGACGACCCTCAGGCCGGGCCAGGGCTTTTCACTCTCTAGGACCTGCCGTGGTGCCCGTGGCAAGGCAAACGAGCTTCCGCGAAGCGAGCAGCTCACAATCGATCAGAGGCACCCGGCTCCATGCAACTTGTGTTTTCTGACCTCGCTGCGACTCTTCAGTTCGAGGCCAGAAGGAGCCCAAACCCCAAGCCGAAGCCACGGACGTGCCTCCGCAAGCACAGGCAGCGCAAGCCGCACGTTGCTTCAGCCCTGGTCACCGGCACAGCTCTCGCTTCTGACAGGCAGAGCTGCCAGTCGAGGACGTTTCGGCTACGAGTGCAGCGCTTGGATCGGTCTTAAAGACAAGTCCCGCAGCTCGCAGCGTGGTTCTGGATGTCAGGCGAAGATCCTGTCAACGATAGTCTGTCCCGGCCCATGTCGCAACCGAGCACAGCTGCCATTCGGACAACGGAAGAGGTCAGCCGCCAAGGGCTGGAGACTTTTGGGGAAGTGATCGAGGGAGGTGTTCGTGTCAGCTCGAACCGTTAGTCCCTCGACTGCGCAGGACCCGGCCGTGGTTCCGGAGGTGGACAGCAACATAAGGACAATCTCTCCCAGGAGGCCCTCAACCCGAGTTCCAGTGGCAGACCTGATCAAGCAGGACCCGCGGCATCCATGCGTCCATGGCTCATGCTGGAGCCTTCGTAAAACTGCTGCAAATTTGTGTTGGCTCTGGGAGGACCTCCTCGGTGCCAGCCAGTTGCAGGCGCCGGCGGCAGCAAGGGTCTCTTACCCGGTTCAGCTGTGATCCAAGCTGCCGCAGGTCCAGGAGGAGCTGGAGGTTCATGCAGACCTGCCGTCCGAAGATCTTGCTGAGAACGGCCAGGGTACAGCCACCATTCCGGGTGACTCCCTGCGTAGCCTCGCGGAAGCTCCGAAAGAAGACATGAGCACCAAGACTCCGCCTGGGGCAGTGCCGAGCAGAACCGATCTCCAGGCGGCGCCCCGTGTGAAAGTGCATTGATGTCACGACAGGCACAGGTCATTCGGGCCTTGTAGGCTTGAACTCTGCTCTCCAGCCCTTATTGAAATTGGCATTGGCAGTCTTAGCCTTTTAAGGCTCCTGCGTGTTCTAAGCCCACACAGTGCAAAGCGCACCCTAGAGCATTTCCAAGTGCTCGACAGATCAGTACATGTCGCCAGGACGGCATGCCAGCCGGGATGGGTGAGACGGACAGTGAGACGTCGCCGAGGCAAAAGAACAGCTGGGCTCCGACGCTGCCGTGATTCAAGTCTCGGGATGCATGTGCTGCTACCTGTGATGTTTGTGAGTAGTGCTGCTACTTCTACCTTTACATTTTATGCCCTACAGTAGAAGGAGGGCTTTCTTGCATGAAGGCCGCCTTTCGCTGCTCCTCCAGATGCTGGCACACAGAAGCAGGAGAAGGTGAGCGCTGAAGGGAATGCAATGGTTTGACTAGCAGTAATCATAATCAGAACAGTTGCCGATGTGGTTGTCCCTCTGAGGTGGCCCAGCCTGATTGAAAAAAAGTAGATCCCGTGGTGCTGATGCTGATGGTGCAATGTTCTGCAGTAGCCACTGCACTTGTGGCAGTCGGCTGTGTGCCAGGATCATCAGACATTGGTGGTTGCGAGCACGCAAGCGCACGACAATGCAGCTCGGCCGACGAAAGCAGAGGACTGTGATAGCGTGATCAAGTTGAAACTTGCAGCGACAAGAAGCTGTTGCGCCAACCTCCGAACATGCGCATGTAGTCGAAGGGCAACATGCAGGGCGTTCGCAACCCGAGTCATGTGCTGCTTTCCTCCTCTCTAGGTTCGAGTCACTCTAGTCGAGAATGTAGACGTTCAGTGATGCTGCTGCTGATGGTGGGGGTGGTGCGTATGAATATTGCAAAAGCTGCTGGATGGAGAACCAAAGCTTGGTTTACTGAGGTGCGCGCAGAGAGCTCAGGCGAGAGTTCGGCAGCTAGCTCCCTCGACGACTTTCGCCACGAAGGGCATCCTGAAGGAACTGGGGGTGTCTGGCAATCACGTTTCCGTTAAGTTTGAGGGTCCCAGGGTTGAGGGGTCCAGCCTTGATAGTGTCAGCGATGTTGATGTAGTTCATTGTTGTCGCCATCGTTCTTGGTGGGTCGTCGTCGTTATGCTCCTGCGGGTTATGGTGGTTCTGTTTTACCTTGTAGTTGACGGCCGTCGTTTTGGTTGTGTGGACCGTCGTTGTTTTTCCGTATCTGTGGTCGCAGTCGAGTCCGGACGAGTCTGGCAGGGGGCAGTGCTCGTGCTTCTTGTTTGTTGTTCTTCCCTGCTGTTCTTCGTGTAGAGCTGCAGCAGCCGCACTACACTGGTGCCGACGAGCGCAGCCACGATGCTAAGGATGGCTAGGGCGAGGAGAGCAGGATGTGAGGGAGGACAAGGAAGAGGAAAAGTAGGAGGACAACAGCCAACAACGACAGCCCTCGACCACTGATTGGCATGATGCTGCTGATGAAGGTGACGAAGAAGACAAGGATGATGATGATGATGATGATGATGATGATGATGATGATGATGATGATGATGCATGCAAAGATGAGAAGACTACCCCAGCCAGCCACAACATGATGATAAGATGATGATTTGGTGATAGTGAAAGTTGTGGTCATGGTGCATGTTTTGTTGGTAACGGTGGTAGTAACGATGATGGTGGGCTGACACCCGTGATGATGATTGAGAACATGATGATGTGACGTGCGACCCACAGACGAGAAAGTTGCCCTTGTGCAAAACAACACGATGGGGGCAGATGATGGTGTGATGAGTGTCTCAGTGGTGACCCAGTAGCGAATAGTAATGGTTATGTTCATGACAATGGTGACTATGATGGTACTGAAGAAGGGGATGATGATGATGATGATGTTTATGGTGATGTTCATGGTGCTGCTGATGATGAAGAAGATGATGATGGGAGGGCGACGGGGATGTTTCTGGTGTTGTACTGCTTGACAGGCCCCGTCCTTGCAGAACCCGGTCTCGCGGGCGAACAGCCGCAAGCGGTCTTCGAGGCGCAGCCACAGCCCAATGCTCCGGAGCCACGGCCAGTGTCATCGCCGTCACAGTCGCGCCCTGATTGGATATTGGAAAGGAGCTCACTGAGTGAGGTCTGGTAGTTCAACTCAGCCAGCAAGCAGTGTGGAGTTCAGATGTTTAGAGAGTGTTTGCGTGGGCTGACGGCTTGGGATCCTGGTCATTGAACCCTCGCCCAAACTTCGGACCCCTGTCAGGTACGAAAATTTTCAACTCTGCATCCCAAATCCTGTGCACAGTCGACGGCCTGCCTTGAGCAAGGCCAGAAACAACAAAGTTCAAAACTCAAAATCTGCTCCGAGCCGGGCCTTCGAACCTCGAGTTGTTGTAAACCAGACAGTGCGTCCTAGCACCTCCAAAAGTGCTGCAGCTTCGCATGGGAGTTTCCGAAAATTAGGGGTACCTTACTTTGGGGTCCTGATAGTGAGGATCCTATTGTGTAGGGTACTATGTCTGGGTCCCCTATTTTCGGAAACTCCCACATAACCCCACAAAACATCGAGCCCAAGCTCTTCTTGCTGGAGACGAGGTCCTCACTTCCCGATGTGTCCCCGATGCCTTCTGCAGAGATCCGCAATGCGGGCATGGTGATTCAGGCGCGCACTCTCTACGAAGTCTGAGTGCTTGGGAGACGATGCACAAACACTTAGAGCAGCGACGGCATATGCTCTGTCAGCGACTGGTCTCAAGGGCAGCCCTAGCCTTTTTCCGAAGAAGTCAAAAAAGGCAGGTCGTCACGCGGGTCATCACGGAAACGCACACTCCAAAGCTTTTTGTCGCTGTTTAGGACCCCCGGCCTCCTCCCAGCTGAGGTGGATTCCTCATTCCCACATGATCCATAAAATGTCACAGCGCGTGTGTTCGTCAGGGGTAAGCGATCATGTCCTGAACAGTCCATCCACACCGGTAGGGGTGGTGTCAGTCAAATTTGTTATAATTTGTTAGATTGCATGAAAGGATGCTTGCAGATGGGATAGGAAGTCGCGCCGAGACTCGACTACGCAGCAGCACATGCTTCCTGTTCAGTGGCTTTCTGGCTGCTCTTATAAGCCCTAAACAGCTAACTGACCTGCCGGAGTCGGTTCGGTGCAGAGACGGGATATCATTCCTCGCGCTCGGGGGACAGACGGCTTATAGAATTATGGTTGTGCGGCGTGATCGACCCTGCAAAGTCATCTCCTCGGAGAATGCACATCGTATACACCGAGACACTCAACCAGGCAACCAGGAACGTAAGAAGCATAAAGGGCATACAAACTACAAGTTGAGCCGCCCTTGGCAGCTGTTCTTGCAGATGTATAGCGAAATGCGGAACACCAGATGGAATCACACAGGTCATGACAGGTCAAGCATTGAAGTACGAAGCGCGAAGCAATAGATAGTCTGCCTGTGGCTGCCTGTGCCGCTTAGAAGCAGTAAAGGCAGAAGAACACTGTCTTACAAGACATTTGCATACTAACTTCTCATCAGGCCGGCCAGACCGAAAGCACCGAGACCCTGGCGACCTGGGTGGCAGTGGAGCCCTCAGCTCTCTTCGGAGTTCTTGCGTGGTTGTGCATCATCTTAACCCACTCGGTTTCGGATTTTTTGTTTTCCGGCTTTACTGAGGTTCGACGTCTGGTGAACATGCTTGTCTGTGTGCGTGCGTGCGGTTCCACCTTAAATATGGGTCCTTACTAGGGTTAAGCAGCTCCAGGATGGGCAGGCAGGGGACACGGGGGCTAGAGGGAGCAACCAGCCTCCAGCGGACGGTGCTCCCGAGCTCGAACGAAAGGGAGCAGATTGGAGTTGCATTTTTAATCAGCAGCAGAGTTGCAGCTCTGCAGCGATTCGTGGATTGCAGTATCGCTAGGCCACGAATTGATGCGGGCGTCCAAAACCGTCGGCCTCCCTCCAATCTCAATGCCTTGGGGCTAAGTTCAGATGTGGCAAAAACTTTGCATTGCATACTTCCCTCTTCTATGGCCAACACGGTTTAGACCTGCCCTGCGGAAGGAAAGCCCGCAACGGAGTGGCACCTTAACATTCATTGTAATGTAACCCGTTGGAATGTGATAAACATATACACATAGTATTCAAACCTATAAGCACAAATAGAAGAAGTGAATAAGCAGGTAACTAGAACTGCTGTAGATATCCATACCGGTAAACCTAAAAGTATAAGTACAAACGAAAATACACATACATGCATGCACGCAGACATGCACGCATACAAACATACATACAGACAGATAGATAGGTAGATGGGTAGATACACACATACATACAGACATTCATTCATTCATTCATGACGGCATTCGGAAGAACGGTCTCAGTCCCAGCCGAGCAAGGGGGTCATAGCCCCCGGCGTTTACAAGTAGCAGAGGACAGCCTTCCCATACAAAACGTTTCCCAGCCGCATGCCGCATCTGTACGGGAACACGGCCGAACCCCCTACCCCTCCTCACTGATCCTACTTTAAAGCGTCCAAAATCTCCTGCACTTGGCGTTCCAATCCACCCCGTGGAGCCTGACCATACTTGCGATGGGCACCGCAACTGGTGAGCGCTTTCTCCAAAGCACAACAAGCCAGATGCAACTTCACGGTGTTCTTGTCCCAAGCCTTTCTGAACCGAGCGATGTGGACCCTAGCCGCAATCACATTGGGATCGCTCCCTTGACCAGTGATTTCCAGGAAATGGGCCTTCAACGTGTTGCCATCTTCCTCACTAAGCGGGCATTCCGCTGCAGCTTTGACCAAGGCTGCCCACACATGACTATGAACAGGTCCCAGTGCGTCAATTGACTTCTGATCACCCTTGGCATTCTTGAGCTTGTCAGCGTGATTCTTGGCAGCATCGGTAGCCGCAACCACCAGTCCACTGTCCCGGGGTAGCAAATATGTTCTCAGCACTGCCGCCTGCATTTCACGAATCTCTAGAGCATTCTTGAGGCACAGCTTGGCAACAAGTTCGAGCAACTTGTCCGCATCACTGGCATTGGCATCTCCCGGCTGCGTCCTACTCATCTTGGTCGGTCTGGCAACCTCTTGGGCTTTTTGAAACCACGACATGCTTGGCAACTGCGGAGCGAGGACGAATGCAAAGGCACTAGTTGGAAATCTCGGGCAAATGTTGGGCAATGCAGGCGTGAACCGCTTCCAACGTATCATGTTCAGCATTGCAAAATGGGCATACCAGCAAGCAAGGCAACGTGACCGAATGATGAGTTGCACTACCCATGCCCGTACAACGTTGTAACCGCAAGCTGGTTCGTATGTGATTCTGTGTAACACGCACACTTGCGAAGACATGTTTGCAAAATGGACACTGGTTGCAAATAGCCGCCCGCACATGAGGATGCACATGACCGTGAGAACCACCCACAGTACACCGAATGTGCATGGCAAGAGCCTGTGGTGACCTAAACGTTGCTGTACACTGCTAGCCATTTGCATCCGTACAATCACAAGTATACATAGAGCCTTGTTCATCAACCTCCTGCGGAGCCTGTGGGATACCAAAAGCGTGATCCGTTGTACCCGGCGGCGGGATGCGAACACCAAGATACTCAGCCCGCATCTCACCACAGTCCACGTGCAGAAAATCCTGCTTAAATGTGGTAAAGACCAATGAAAATCTTTGCCCAATGCCGAATAGCCTCTCAGATGCAGTGTCCATGCGGAGCAAAGCAGTAACGTCTTCGTTGAATTGCAAGGCCCAGGGATTGGCATACTCTGAAACGGATCCGTCAGCACAAAGTGTATCATGAGCATCATATGACAACCTCCCAAATACAGCCGCAAGCAATGCAGTATGAAGCGTCGGATTTCTGGCCACCGATTGCCAATACTGTAATCGCCGAATCCTGAGCTCAATCTTTGAGGGTACCATACGCAGTAGTTTGAAGACATCTTCATCCGGCATCGCCTTATACACCATCCCGTCATCTGTAGGAGTCTTTTTGCATGCCGCACCCCGCAATATCTTCCTTGCATAGCGCAACACAGTCGAGTCCAGCCTCGCGTATTCAGTCTCAGATAGAACCAGAGCTTCAAGACCTGACAACGCCGCACCTCGCACCATCGCCTGAAAGACAACATTTGCAGGCCTTCGCAGCGTAACGCTAGACCAAAACTTCCCGAGCGCATAATAGCCTTGCTTTGCCGCTGCTTGGCGTGCTTCAATTTCTCTAGTGTCCGTCCCTTTGAAATGTCTGAAAGAACCAAGGTACTTCGCCGATGTTTTCGTACTCCCAGGCAGTATAGCATCTTTGTAAAAATCCAAATAGTTTTCGCGTGCTCCAGCTCCCGCAAAAAAGGACACATGCTCTTGCTTGTCAATGTTCTGGCCCATATCAACACCCCGCAATTCACGGTCAAGTACATCATTCGCATTTGTGAGCTGCATATGAAGCTCCTCATTGTTCTCAGCCACTGTACACCGTGCAACATCATCGGCATAGCCAGTGAGGGAAACATCATTGCGATCCCCAGTGATCGGATCGCAAACCACAAGCTCGTCTTGCTTAGTTTCACTCCACATACAGACATACATACATGCGTACATGCACACATTCATACATGCATACATGCGTACATACACACACACATGCACACATACACACATACACACACACACACACACACACACACACACGCACATACACACATCCTCACACATACACGAATACACACATACACACAAACGCACATACGCGGATATTAACATACAGACACATGTGCATACATACCGACATACTCACATACATACATGCATGCATGCATGCATGCATACATGTATACAAGCATACATGCATACATGGAGACATGCGGACATGCATACATGCATATACACATGCATACATACATGCAGGCACACATACCTACGTATGTGCGTACTACATAACAAATACATATGTGTACACACATATACATATCGTATGTATATACCTACATAACGTATATATGTATGCCTGCATGCATGTATGTATGTACGTACGTATATATGTTAATATACATGTCAATATATATATATACACATACATATATAATAATACATATATATATATATATGTATATATATGTATATATATATATATATATGTATATGTATATGTACTTATGTCACGCCCCACTGCTTTTCGGTCACGATGCTCTGAGGCCAACATCCATCGGCGTTTGAGTGGAGCGGGCGAGAGTCTGGAGCCGGGCGGTGCGGTCCATATCGCAGACACGGCGGCTCGACGTAGCACCTGGGAGGTTCCTTTAAAATTAGGGGGTACCGTAGGGTTCCTTTAATGGGATGCTATAAGGGTACTATAAGGGTTCCTTCAAGGGGCCCCAAAAGGGTTCAGAGTTTCCGAAAATGAGGGGGTACCCTAATTTTGGGGATCCTTAAAATAAGGATCCTACAGTTTAAAGTATTATATTAGGGTCCCCTATTTTCGAAAACTCCCACCTGAGCCTGTGGAGGGTTGCTTCAGTCTTCTTGGTACTTGTAGAGAAGCGGAACAAGCGCGCACGGCATGAGGGCTTGTAAGTGTGATGAGAGTCGCGGACAATCCCAGTGCTTCTTCATGTGCCGATGCGAGGAAGTCTCACGGCGCCTATCTTCAGAGCCTGAGCTGAAAGTTTCCGTTGGGATGATCGGAATCTCAAGCTTGTACTGTCGAAGAGATTTGTCGCCTGGCAGTCGGCAACTCCAGTACATGGGTACTCAAGGGCAAAATATCTCATAGACTGCCGAACAAAGGGACTGCTGACTTCCCAAGGTGCGTTCTGGACTTGGCCTTGGGGGACCGGTCGCTTGGTAGACGTTTATTCGAGGGTTTGGATCGCTTGGGTCGCGTATGCCTGGGCTTGGGCTTCCGCTGTCCATAGCTGGGCGTGAGGCGATCGGTCTGCCACGGACAGAGTTGTGCGAACAGGCCAGCTCTACTTCTTCCTCGGGCCTTCAGCAAGGCAAGAAGAAGGTGTCTCAGCGAAATATGGTGATTACCCTGCAGCTTTGGTGCTGCTAGCTCAAACAATCGATAGCCGCTGAGTGTGATGAGCTTGGTGAGTCAGGGAGGTTCTCGAGAACCAGATCGGACTGAAACAGGAAAGTATCTTCAAGAACTCGGCAACAGCTTTTGAGGTCAGAACGTGACGCCCATCCTTCCATTCATCCGTTCATCTTCATCCATCCATCCGTCTGCCGTCCGTGCATCCGTCTGCTGTCCGTCCATCCGTCTGTCCGTCCGTACCACGTAACATGTATGCGGGTAGATACGCAAATTATACGGACATGCAAACCTCAATCAGTGAGTCAATCTAGCAATTTCTCTGATTGCCATCACCAGTTTCTCCCTCGTTCTCCCGCCGGCATAATCGTATTATTTACGGGCGGGGCCACGCTGCCTGCGGCCACGTGGGTTTGGGGCTTCGCAGCCACTCACTCCTTTTGGGGTTCAGGGCTTCGCAACCACTCATTCCTTTTAAGGGTATAAGGGTTTCGTAGCCACTCACTTCACTCCTGTTAGGGTTCATGGCTTCACACCCACCCACTCCTTTTAGGGTTCAGTGTTTCGCACCCACCTACTCCTAGGGATTCTAGGGCTCAAGGTTTCGCACCCACCTATTCCTTTCAGGGTTCAGGGTTTCGCTCTCACCTATGCACTCCTTTTAGGGTTTGGGGTTTCGCAGCCACTCCTTTTAGGGTTCAGGGTTGCGGACTGCCTGCGGCCCCCGCGGCCACCGCACTTGCAGAGTGTATGATCCGACGTAGAACCTGATATCTGCTTTCCGTCTCTTAACGGGCTGCTGTAGCCCTGTTCTGCATGCTATGCTTGTTAGTCTTGTACTGAGGCACGTCGTCCGAAGGCAGCTTGGCAAGACGGCCGATTGAACATCTGAAGGGGAACGGGCCCGTCCAGCCACAGGGCTTTGCACATGTTCCAAGGCGTTGACACGACTCGGAAAAGGTGAAGATGAAGAGATCCTTCCATCGCCTCTCAGCTGCCCTTGACTTCCGTGAGCCCGTGCTTCGGAAAGATGCATGTCTTGCATGTCTTCCAGGACAGATGCCCCGGAGGAAGCGATGCCCGAGGAGGATCAGAAGCCAGCTCAGGAAGCCATGCCCGAGGAGCATGCGGATACAACGCCAGAGGATGCAAAGCCCGCCGCTGCGGCTCCGGGCCACCCAGCTGCAGTCAGAATGGGATGGCAAGTACTTGATGAACTTGTCAGAGGAAAGCTTGGCATTCTGCAAACTGTCAGATGCAAGAAGTCCGGATGTCAGGTGGGCTGGAACAGCGAATTCCAGAGAGTGCACCACCTCCTGCGGCCCCGAAGGTCAGGGTAAGCATCGCACGTAGCTTCATCGAACCTCATCGTGGCTTGCGGTATGCACTCCGGCAGGTGGCAGCAGCGCCTGTGCAACCACAGCTGTCAACCGGCGAGGAGGAGATGGAGGAGCAGGACGAGGAGGAGGTGGAGGCGGAGGAGGCGGAGGAGGATGTGGTGGAGCAGCCACGTGATTACGAGAGGCCCAAGAGGATTGACCCTCACAACACTGCTGCATCTTTGATGACCGGCCGCAGCCAAAATGCAGATGCAACTTGTCTGGCAATATACGAAAAATCTTTAGCATCGACCTATGATACAATTCAACACTATGATACACTATACAACATAACGGAATACAGCTTTATTGGCCAACTTTTCTTTTCAGGACCTCGAGAAGATGGCACTCGCGGACATGGCCGGTGACACCTTGGCCGTGGCCGCCTACGCGCAGTCGGCACTGGAGAACTTCCACCCGACCTCGGAGTCTTCAGGGACTCCGGGCTCAAGGATCTAGATTTCTGGGAAGTCGAGTTGAGGATGGCTGGGGCACACCAGGGAACGGTATCGCGAGGCGATGTGTGTGTATATGTATATGCATATAATGTATATGTATCAACATATACACATACTTATATCTCATGTGTGTGTGAGCATCGTGTGCCAAAGTGCTTGTCGGCTTTGAGTCACACCTGAGCATGGTGTCGCCGCCTAAGGTCAGCCAGCCCTGTCAGCCCCTTGTCCACGCGATCGCTGCATTCATCGCGCTCGCCACAGCGCAGGCCCGGGAAGTCCGCTTGCTGAGGCCTTTGGACCGGAGACGTAGGCGAGATTGTGCAAGGTACTTAGACATCATGTGGGTCGTCGATGTAACATAATCACCATCATCTTCGGCGTCATGACATTGACGCAGCCATTGGCATTTGCCAGTTGCAAAAATTTAGATCCATCGCCTGACAAGGTTACCGGCTTCTGTCTGTCTGTCTGTCTGTCTGTCCCTCTCTAGTGAACAGTGAAGAGCGGCGATGTCTGCAAATGCAATCATGGACATGCGGACGGCGCTACATACCTGCAGACCCCTATGGGCTCTGGCAACGGCTGTTCAAGCTTCTGCAGTCATGTAAGCACTGAGTGCCTCACTGGTTGGCTGACTCGCTGCGAAGGCTGCCCAAGCAGCCGGCGGCGGATGGCGCACAGGTCACGGCCATGTCGCCGGTGCCAAGCAGCGTCAGCGCTCTTGCCGGGGAGCGGCGGTTGTGCCCATGTACGTAGCCGTAGATTTGTGCACTTGACGGGTCATGGGTCGGATTTGCAACAGTTTCTGCAGACAAGAATCTAAGTTTAGAAATCGGAATTCGGGTGGGTCTCGCATGCATTGGCGATTCGCGAACCGACCTGCAAAAGTCACGAAAAGTAGAAGACTTCTTTCAAGCTGTGGTCTCTTAGGGGCCAAGTGGCTTTTCATAGCTTCCTGCCTCCAGGATGCGACTAACGAGGAGCCGAAGTTCAACGAAGCGATCTTGATGTTGGATGCAGAGGCACCCTTCCTGCAATGTGGGTTGATTGCAGTGTTTTGTGGCTCTGAGGTCTCGGTGTTCTGTTGATAATACGGAGGCTGAATCCGACTAGTACTATCACTGGTACTATTCTTCTTGTTAGTATTGTTATGCTTAGTAGAATATTAATACTATTCTTACTCCTAGTTGCTCAAGTCGTTGCGTTTTGTTTGTAGCAGCGCCAGACCTTCGGGGGAAGCTTGGTTGTGAGGTCGTTGCGTTTCTGTGCTCATGGGGGAAGGCTTTCAAGATGATGATCTGTGGTGTTTGTTTGCTACAGGGTCCAGGCCCTAAGTCGTCCCAGTTAGCCGAAAGGCGCCCCGCAGGGTATGCATCGGATCTTGTCGTCTTTGTTACAATCGAGGCGTCTAGTTGCGGAATGGCTCGGCAGTCGGAACACTGGTTGTCTGGCTGCTCGAGCGTCTACATGGGGAATGGCGGACTGTAAAGTGCTGTCGCTGTTCTGCCGACCGATGAGCGGGTGCTTGCAAAAGCAAGCGTCTGTATGTGGAACTGCTCTACGTGACGTGTGACCAATGTGTGTCCTGCGCGGATGCTTTCGAAACGTCAACACGGGAAAGGCTGCTTTTTGTGTGTTGCGATGCCAATGATGTGTGTCTCCAGCGGCTGCCTGTGGAATCGACATGGGGAGGGTGGTGGGGTGGTTTTGTTTTGGAGGGCCATGAAATCACGCCGGAGGGTATTGTTCACCCCAATATTTAATCTACGACCGGGTATCGTTCAACCTGAGGAAGAGCTTGAAACCGGAGAGGGGGCGGGTGGCGCATCCCTCGCGCACGCGGGTTCGCGGGTGCACGGGAGGCCCTGGGACCCCCACAACATCAAGACTAAGTACATGCATCTCGGGGTCCTGTCCCCGGAGGTGTGCACTTGCAGAATGCTGCAAACACGAACAGCAGCACGCGGGTTTTCGGTTCAGTTGTTCACTCACGGGGAAGGTGTGCGGGAGGCGTGCACTTGCAGGAACGGTAAATGCAAGGACTTTGCAGCCACCCCACTCGTTGCGTGTGCAGCTGGGGAGGCATCAAAAATGCGACATGCAAGGACTTAGTCGTGTAGGAGTACTATTGAATTGCTTGGCACTATCCTTGTTTTCAGACTGTCGCAAAGATTGTTTGCTTGGCTAGTTTCACGGCTTTTCGGGCCCCTTGGCAGCAGGGTGTCCATGATGTCAAACCAAGGCGACAAACCCCCTTGGCAGCAGGGTGTCCATGATGTCAAACCAAGGCGACAACCAGCCGCAACGCCTGGGCTGGCAAGGCCGTTTCAGGCACTTGGATTGGGGGTTTATTTTGATCTTCTGAGCTTGGCAGCTGGGGGCAATCAGCTGCATAGCGCACACATGATGCCCGGGGCAAGGGTTGTCGGTACTTGCGATTTCCACTACGCACAAGGCGAACACGCTACTGCTTGCCAAGTTATGAAGACTGCTTAGGACACTCCACTGCCCTTGTAGCTGACTACACCAGGAGGCTCTGTATGGTAGGACCCCAAGCCTCTGAAGGGATAGGGGTTAAAAAAAAATTAAATAAGGATCAAAAAAAAATTAAATAAGGATCAAAAAAATTAAATAAGGATCAAAAAACAATTAAACTAAACGAGTATCCGCGAAAGGAAGGGGAAAAAGGAAGGAAAGAAAGACAGAGAGAGAGAGAGAGAAGGAAAGAAAGAAAGAACGAAAGAAAGAAAGGAAGGAAGAAAGAAAGCAAGGAAGAAAGAAAGAACGAAAGAAAGAACGAAATAAAGAAAGAAACAAAAGAAAGAAATAAAGAACAAAATAACGAAAGAAATAAAGAAAGAAAGCCATGCAAGAAATAGAGAAATAAGTAAATAAAGAAAGCTATAAGTAAAGAAAGAAAACAAAAATAGAGAACTAAGTAAATAAAGAAAGCTATAAGGAAAGAAAAAAGAAAACACAAGGAAAGAACCAAAGAGAGTTAGAAACAAAAACAAAACAAACAATGAAGAAATAACCAAAGAACAAAAACAGAGAAACAAAGAAAGACGGAAGGCCATAAGACACGAAGGAGAGAGAGAAAGAGTTAAACAAAAAGAGAGAAAGAGCTAGAAAGAGACAGGGACAGGAACAAACAAAGGAAGAAAGCAAGGCAGAAACAAAGATATGCAGAAAAAAAGAAGATGCAAAAAAAGAGGTATATAGATACATAAACAAAGAAATACAGAAAAGAAAAAAGAACGACAGAAAGACAGAAGGAAAGGAAGAGATGACGGCAAGATTGATTGAAGCAAGGAAGGAAGAAGGTAAGGAAGACAGGAAGAAATAAATAACGAACGAACGGAAAAAAAACAGAAAAAAACAAACGGAAAGAACCAACCACAGAAAGACAGACAAGGAATGATCGAACGAAATAAAGAACGCAAACCCAAAAAACACAAGGGAATAAGAACAACACAGTAAGAAAGACAGAGCAAGCATGCTGAATGGCTGCAATTGCCGTATTTCATTTTTTGATCCTTATTTGATTTTTGTTTGACCCTCGGGTTTTTTTATCCCTACAACTACAACTAAAACTGCAACATACTACACCTACAACCACAACGCCAACAACAACAACACTAGCAACAACTACACCACGACATCCGTCCTAAATGCGAAATTCTAAGGAAAATTTGATTTTCCCAAGGAATAAGCTAGGTAACGTATGTTTTCTTTCTGAAAACCTGAAGAAATGACACGAACGCCGTAGGTAATAGGAAAATATGCTTTTTCCTAGGAAAAACCAAGGAAAACTTAGAGAAATAACACGGAATCCGTAGGAAAATCGTGTTTTCCCCAGGAAAAACCAAGCAAATCCTTAGGAAACGAAAGAAAATCCCTAGGAAAGCAGTGTTTTCCCTTGTGTATCTAAAAAGCAAGAAAGAAAGACAGAAAGAAAGAAAGAACGAGAGAGAGAACGAAAGAACGAAAGCAAAAACAAGAGGAAGAACGAAAGCAAGAACTAAAGAAATAAATTTAAGGAAATACCACGGAATCCGTAGGAAAATCGTGTTTTTTTGAGCAAAAACCAAGCAAATCCTCAGGAAATGAAAATGAATCCGTATGAAAACAGTGTTTCACCTGGGAGAAATTCAAAAATTGCTGTATCTAAAGAGGACGAAAGAAATGAAAACAGAAAGAAAGAAAGATAGAACGAGAGAGAGAACGAAAGAACGAAAGCAAAAACGAAAGAAAGAACGAACCAAAGAAAGAACGAAATAAATCAAACCAGAAAGAAAGCAAGAAAGAAAGGAAGGGAGTATGAGATGAACAAAGAAAGAACAACAGAAAGAAAGAAAAGAAATGAACGAGCGAAAGAAAGAAAGAAGTCCAGAATAAAAAAGCAAAGTTGGAAAAGACGAAAGAGAAAGAATATGAAAGAGTCACGGAAACAAAGATACAAGCAACAGGATACTACATAGTCCAATCGAATTTACCATAATATCGTAATGTACCGTAACATAATATAACATAATGTAACCTAATGTTGTAAAATATACTACATAGTATGTTGTAAATATACACACTGTATTGTACTATGTTACAATGTACTACACTATAAACTAAGATGTTGTTTTGTTCTATGTCATCTTCTGTTGTATTGTATTGTTGTATTTTTAGTATGCCATTATATGCTATAAGAAGCAAGGTTCTGTTATGTCAGAAAATGTCACACCATTTTTGTGTTGTCGAACCATCTTATGTCGTTCTTCTGGTTTACTATGTTATATATATATATATATATATTAGGTTAGAATGCTAACGGAAGAAGAGACACGAACAGGCACGGAAGAACAAAACACCCGCCGCCGCGCTTTTCGAGACGTGCAAGCTTGATTCAAAGAGTGTTTTCGAAGCCCATCATGTGAACGTTGTCTCTGCAAATGGGGGGGGCTGCGCCCCCCCCAACCCCCCCGCTGTTTTAAGCCGTGCAGGGTTGCTTTGAAGCATATGCTTTTTTTTGAAACCCAGCAAATGAGGGCGTCTCCGCCCTTGTAGATACATGCTGAACCAGAATCGCCAAATGAGGGGCGTGTTTAAGATAGATGATGAAGCGGAACCTCAGGAAATGAAAACGAATCCGTATGAAGACAGTGTTTCCCCTGGGAAAAATTCAAAAATTTCTGTATCTGAATCTAAAGAGGACGAAAGAAAGGAAAACAGAAAGAAAGAAAGATAGAACGAGAGAGAGAACAAAGGAACGAAAGCAAAAACGAAAGAAAGAACGAATGCAAGAACGAAAGAAAGAACGAACCAAAGAAAGAACGAAATAAGTCAATCCAGAAAGAAAGCAAGAAAGAAAGGAAGGGAGTATGAGATGAACAAAGAAAGAACAACAGAAAGAAAGAAAAGAAATGAACGAGCGAAAGAAAGAAAGAAGTCCAGAATAAGAAAGCAAAGTTGGAAAAGACGAAAGAGAAAGAATATGAAAGAATCACGGAAACAAAGATACAAGCAACAGGATACTACATAGTCCAATCGAATTTACCATAATATCGTAATGTACCGTAACATAATATAACATAATGTAACCTAATGTTATAAAATATACTACATATTATGTTGTAAATATACACACTGTATTGTACTATGTTACAATGTACTACACTATAAACTAAGATGTTGTTTTGTTCTATGTCATCTTCTGTTGTATTGTATTGTTGTATTTTTAGTATGCCATTATATGCTATAAGAAGCAAGGTTCTGTTATGTCAGAAAATGTCACACCATTTTTGTGTTGTCGAACCATCTTATGTCGTTCTTCTGGTTTACTATGTTATATATATATATATTAGGTTAGAATGCTAACGGAAGAAGAGACACGAACAGGCACGGAAGAACAAAACACCCGCCGCCGCGCTTTTCGAGACGTGCAAGCTTGATTCAAAGAGTGTTTTCGAAGCCCATCATGTGAACGTTGTCTCTGCAAATGGGGGGGGCTGCGCCCCCCCCAACCCCCCCGCTGTTTTAAGCCGTGCAGGGTTGCTTTGAAGCATATGCCTTTTTTTGAAACCCAGCAAATGAGGGCGTCTCCGCCCTTGTAGATACATGCTGAACCAGAATCGCCAAATGAGGGGCGTGGTTAAGATAGATGATGAAGCGGAATACCAGCAACAGCTACAACAGGAAATCCGTCCTAAATGTGAAATTGTAAGGAAAATTTGATTTTCCCGAGGAACAACCATAATAGGAAAATAGGCTTTTTCCTACGAAAAATCAAGGAAAACTTAGGGAAATACTACGGAATCCGCGGGAATATCGTGTTTGCCAGAGGAAAAACCAAACAGATCCTAAGGAAACAAAAGAAAATCCCTAGGAAAACAGTGTTTTCCATTGGAAAAATTCAGGAATTGCTGTATTTTACGTGATTTAATTTTTTTTTGATCCTTATTTTATTTTTTTTGCTGCCTCTGCCCCAGGAATTGCTGTATTTTGAGTGATTTAATTTTTTTTTGATCCTTATTTTAATTTTTTTTGATCTTTCCATTTAATTTTTTTTTGATCCTTATTTAATTTTTTTTTGATCCCTCACCCCCTCTGAATGTATGCTTAGCCACAGACTGAGCCGACGCACATACTTGCTTGATCAACTGCCACATGATCTTGCCTATCATCTGCACCCAGACCATAAGCCATTCCTGCCAAGGCCGCCTGCCGAAAAAGATGTCCGTCAGCAACATTGACCTGGAAGACCTTGGCTTGCCCAACGACACAGACGACCAGGCAAGCAAGTCTGCTATCTTGGAATGTTGCACCGCCAGCAGGAATGCCTCAAGCCCGAGTGCATAAATGCTGCAGCTGCTGCTGCTTTCATTCACGGAGTTGCCGGGCAGTGTGCAGTCATGCGTGTATTCACGCTTGGACGAACGCAACGCCAGCGCCCTGTCGCCAAATCTGCTGCCGGCTGCAGCTTGTCACTCTCCTCGGTCAGGGCGATTTTGAGGCCTAGGTGTGTGCAGACGCGCCTGCCGTCCTTCTAGAAAGTTGGGTCCGGGGCAAGAATGCCCTGTGTTCCGCAAGCTTCTGGGCCGCGGCCGGCGTAGGAAAACCGGAGTGAAAGTCTGCGGTTGTGTCGTTGGCCAGACGATGTTCTGCTGCGACGATCGCTGTGGTAGTGATTTGGAATGCCCGGCTGTGGGCCACTGCGCCCGGTGGGTTCGATGTGAGGTATCATGGGGCCACGGAAGAGACCCGAAAGTCTGGCTTCACGCGCCGGCTCTGCGGATAACAGGATGCATTCGTTTCGCAGCGTGCGAATTTACCGCACTGAAAGTGAAATTAAGCGAGATAGGCCTGCACTCACACTCGCATACCAAGCGGTGCGTGGTAAGGTGTCTACTTTCTCCTTCCAGACAGATTCTGCGTACGAATGCTCTGTCGTGTATTCCTCCAATGAAGTCCGCCTGCAAGCCAGATCGGTTCTTTCGAGAATGTTGCTCCAATGGTTTAGCGGACGACAATAACTTCTGCTCCGGGGGAGACCCGAAACTACAATGACTAGCATAAGATTTTAAATCGTGAAGCCGGATGCGCAAGGAATTCGACAACAAACTTGTGGAACGTGTGGAGAGCAGCGCAGTTCCAGTCACGCTGAGAACCATAAAGGACGGAAGTGAAAGAGATCAGTTTCATCACGAATGAAATGTAGCAAGGAAGGATGAGCTTCTGGACGGGATTGACTCAGACGAACATGCACGTTGAGCCCTAAGCCGCACTTCTCGGCAGGCCATCAAGACAGCGACAGCGAGCCTTTCGCTAGCCAAACCTGGCCGTTTGCTGCCGCGCTCGGGCACGCAGGGAGTGGAGGCTGTCCGATCTTGGGTGTGCGGGGTTGGTGGTTCAGGGAGGTTTGTGTGGGAGTTGCGGTTCGAGTGACCTGTCGACGATTGTACCTCGAATGCTGTTCGTACCTCAGGTTTTCTTTACTGTGAAAACTCCAGCTCCAGACAAAGCAGCCACTACGAGTAGCCCAACGATCATTGCCGACCCAGCACCGGCAACCGCCGACACGACCAGGCCATCTCCAACCCCCACCCCGACCCACCAGCGCCATTACCACGCCACTGCCACCGCCACGGCACCGCCGCCGCCAGGACCACCACTGCTACCAGCACCACCCTTACCAGCGTCTGCCAGAACCAGGTACAAGTACGACGACAACCTTGCTTACTACGACGACCACGACCACCACGACGAAACGACAACGACGACGACAAGCGCATTTGGATTCGATCATTCTTGACGCAACGACATGTCTCAACCCTCCGGTGGCGGCGGAGGAGCGGGTAGCCTTTCCTGTGGTCGTGTCATTTCGTTGTTGGCTGTCATTAGTCCCATCTTTATGATGGCCTTGACAACGCCGGACGTGTCTCTCTGGTGATCAGGATTACTGTGCTCCGAAATAGTGCTGCCACCACGGCCACCACCGTCGTCAGTCATCATTATCATCATCATCGTCCTCGTCATCGTCATCATGATCATGATGATGATGACGATCGTCGTCGTCGTTGTGGTCGTCGTCGTCGTCGTCGTTATTGTGGATGTTGTCACCATCATCATCGTCATCATCATCACAATCATCATCATCATCATCATCATCGTCATCACCGTCATCGTCGTCATCGTCATCGTCATCATCATCACTATCATCGGCATCATCTTTATCAGCAGCGTCATCTTCGTCAACAGAATGTGCGTCGAGGCATGATCTGGCGGCATGCCATCTGGGTCACAGCACATGCTCTCCAATGTGCATGGATGTCACAATCCACCCCCTTCCTCCGCCGCTGACCCCAAGTTCGAAGACCTTCAGCCCTCAAGGTCCTGAGATCGACAAATACCATGACTAACTACTGTTGACTACTGTGGGCTTGATAACACATGCCCTCGTGGAGGCCGAGGATCTGCCGATCCTTTCTGTGGCCCAGCTATCACCGCGCGTCTCTCAAGAGTTGACGGAGGCGGGAGTTCAAGAACACATAGATTGGGTTGACCGGTTCCGGTTTCTGTGGTTGTGGGAGTTTGAGGATCGGAGGTTACAAGGTGTTCGCAGGAACGACATTGTCCGCGCTGGAATTGGGAACAGCACCTGTGGGAGTTGATCTAGTCAATCTAGTCGGCATTTCAGCCAAGCCTTGCCCGGCATGAAGGGGGCGCTTGCTCAGGCTGATGTTGGCGAGCTGCATGCCGAGAACGAGCCCAAGTAGCTTTGGACAATAGGAACGGTTGTGGTTTTTGATGTGCTCTTTTGATCGCTAGTGCTGACTCTCTGAGTGGTTGCCTGTCAGCAGCAGGAAAGCGCTGTGATTTCCAAGCTTCTGCTGCGGCTGTTGTGAGATGTGAGTGCCAGATCTCGATTCACTCCGTGACCGAGGCGGCGCAGGCAGCTGTCGTCAGATGTGCCCGTTCCCACCATCGACAGGCAGCCTGCAAAGGAGCACCCAGTCACGAAGAGCTGTGCAGAAAGTGTGGTGAGGAGGTGAATTTCGGACGCACAAGGGTGTAGATGGACAAGAACCGATCCAAAAAGGTCTAGCCACTAAACCCGAAACCTTCAATCTCAAACCCTAAGCCATCCTGAACCCTCCAGCCTTAAACACCCCTAAACCCGACACCCGAAAGCATCCGAGCCGACAGGACCCGCGGGTTGGCGAAGGGCTCGTGCTGCTGGATGCGCAGGCTGGGAAGAGCTGTAGTCAGGGGCCAGGGCTTAAATGCGGATTAGGGCCTGGGATTCAGGGCTCAGTAGCGTTTCAGTTTTGATACCAGGGCTAGGTATGGGCTATTATGATGCGGTTGCACTCCGTCGTCAGAGATGCACACAGAAGCAGTGTGTTTTCTAGAGCAGAAATACTGAATATATGCCTGAGGCCAGTCCACCACGCAAGCGCGGACATCAACACCGGACAGTCTTATAACAAGACAACTTGGAAACGCACAAGGCTTAAAAATCATCCACCTACAGAAATAGATAATGTTTATACAAAACAGAACAAACTCCCAAAACATATACCAACACGATTTACATCTTCAGCTGTATGTGTGCATGCATGCATGTGCATGCAGATGAGCCGTCGTCTGGATGTTAGATCCCACGCCGATCTGCATGTGTACAGACGTAAACGTGTAACGTAGATGTGTGTGTATGGATACATGTAAAGGTACAGATATGCAGATACACATACACGCATGCAGTCCCTGTCTTCGCCTCCGTGCCTCTGTCACCATCTCTGTCTGTGTCTCTGTCGCTGTCTCTCTCTCTCTCTCTCTCTCTCTCTCTCTCTCTCTCTCTCTCTCTCGCAGACTCTTTGTAGAAAGACATAAAAGGTTCACTGAGCACTCTGCCATGCCGCAGGAATCAGGCAGCCGTAACAACATCTGGGCCGGCCAGTCTGCTTCAGGCGCATGGGACAGGGTCTGGCAATGTCTGGCAGCAGACTGGTGCGTTAAGACCGAATGCCACACAGAGATCGCGATGGTGCAGAAACAAGAGGCAAGATCAACCGCAAGCCTCTGACGATCAAAAGAGCTTTCCTACTTCCCAACCCTATGCACGGTTCGGTTCACCCCTTAGTACACAGAATGTATCGGTCGTGCAAGTAGATGGATGCAGACGAGGTGCGTTGGAGGGTTACTGGGATCGTGCTTATCATGTATCGGCGTGTCTAGAAGTCAGGGCCGCTTTCCAAGGCCTTGATTCGGTACAGCAGCTTAACTAAATTTCGAATGAAGTCCATTGTTGGCCATTCGAGCTTCAGGAGGCTACTACAGGACAACGTTCATTATCCCAACAAACACCAACCAAGCTTCCCGAAAACTTCACGAACTTCAATCAGGACCTGCAGCCCCCAGTCAGCGAGGAGGCAGCGAACCAGGCCGCCTGCGTGATATCCCAGGTGGAGTGAAGCCGCGAACCTCTGTGTTAAAGCATCAGAATTCTGGGAGAAGGCTGCAAAAGCGTGTAGCTCCGAAATCCCAGCACCTAAAGTCTCCGAAGCCAGGCAACCAAACAAAGCAGCCCTTCATGACCCACTTCGAGCTCAAGAGCGACCTTTTGACGAGTGGCGCTGGCGACCAGGTTCACCGGGAGGGCGGGTTTTACTCTTGCAGGGTTTAAAGGCTCCAGGGTTTAGGATTCTATGGTTTAGGAACTTAGAGTGCGATGAAGATCCGATTTCTTTTTTGCTGATGTGTCGTTGGAAGGAGCTCCGTCCATGCATATGTATGAGACCAAAGCCTGAAATGACCAACATCCTTGTTTGCAAAGGACTGCTTGTTTTCTGCGCTACGAGCAAAGTGATCTCCACAGGCCGACCGGATGCCACACCGCTCTGCTCTCAAGCCACGTCGGGGCAAGCCCCGCTCGAGTGCACAGGGCTCCGGCAAGGCACGGCCGTACATAAAGTTGAGTCTCAGATGGCGTCGGACAACGTAAACGCGGTGCTTCCCGAAGGAAATAGGCAATAGGTCGTCTTCTGGCTGAGTTGGGAGCCGCAGCTAGTTAGGTGCGGGTGCACTGCTTCCAGCATGAGCACCACCCCAACCTATCAGTCATAGACATGCTCTGCGCCAGCGAAGATCCACCTGATGGTTTCAGTTAGACAGGCGCGAGAACTAACGGCAGCAGTCGTAGTCGTAGTAGCGGCAGTGGCTGTTGCAGGGTGGAAAGGGAGCTCGTCGTCCACAGGAAGACTCGAGGTGCGGGAAGGTTTTCCGAATAGGTGTCGAAAATGTGTGTTGATGTCTGGCTGTCGTCCGTCTGTGTGCCTGTGTGGCCGCCTGTCTGTCTTCAAGTAGGTAAGTGTGCCATGCATGCACGCATGCATGCATGCATGCATGTTGCTTCTTGTCCTGTCCGGTCCTGTATTGCAGTCTAGTATATTGCATGTAGTGCAGGCATGCATGCACGTGTGCATGCCTGCAGTGACAGGGTCGGGTCGGGAAGGTGGTGGTATGGTATGCTATGGCATGGACTGGTATGTATATGCACAACAGGTATTTGGGTGTACACGCGTGTATTAGTCTTTATGTGCGTTTATGTGTACGGAAAATACCTATGTATGTGTATGTAGACAGACAGATAGATAGACAGATAGACAGACACAGTACATACGATGTTGGTATACGTAAGCATGATGTCATTGCATCACGAGTCCGCGGTTGCTTGCACCCTCGCAGCTCGTTTACGCGAGGGCCTCAACAGTCTGTGGCACATTTAGAATCCGCTTTACCAGAAATTCTATCCTACTGCAGTATGACTCACAGCCCAGTGAAGTTTCTCCAGGCCTGGCAAAGCCGTCGTGGCCGCAGGGCCGGAGGTGGACTCAGCAATCGTGGCCGCTGTACTTGCAGAAGCAGAGGCCGATGGAGAAGGTCCTGAGGAGGCTGCCGGCAGCGTTCTTGAGTAGAGCATCTTTGGATGTTACTCCCTCCTTAAGATCTTCACAGCCTGGTGTCAGGCTGAGGAGCCAGAAGACCGAGAAGAGACCCTGGAGGCAGAAACCAAGCCGAGCGATGGCGAGAAGGTGAAGGTCGAGGTAAACGAGGAGGCAGAGCCGAAGGACAACTTCTCCCTGGCCCGAAATACGTCCAAGACGGCGGTTAACAAGCGTTACGTCGTTGCATCCGCGGGCAAGAAGGCCCTGTTTCAAAGTGCCTTAGTTGCAACCCGTTTACACCGCACTCGCCCCATAAATGCGTAGCCGCAGCCTTCAGTCCAAACTGCAAACTCTGCTGACTTGAGGCAGATCTTTTCGCATGCAAGATGACGTTCCGGCTCCACAGCTCCCGACTTCGGGAGCCTCGGGTCGGTTGCGAGGGAAGCTTGGGGAAGGTGGGTGAGTCAGTGATGAACCACCCAACGCCTCGAGAGGGCCTTGCACAATTGGGAACCTGAGATGTCAGAACTGGAGCCTTAGCTTTCGTGCTGAAGCTGGCAGTCACATACATCGATGGTGTACATGTCTTCCCGACTGTAGCAGTGGCAGAGCGGCAAGCAACTAGCTCAAACCGCTTGAGGATGAGACCAACCCTCGAAGTAAGAAGATGGAGTTCCTCGACGTAAGGGGCGAACGATCGGATGGGACCGGCAAAAAGACGAAGACTAGAGACAGTTGCAGCATGTAAGGTCGTAGCAATTATGGGCACTCAGCCCCAGAACAACCCGCAGGAGTCTCGGATTTGCCAGATCCTGGTGAGTCCGGCGAAGCTCCTGTCCTAATCGAGTCGACGGAGACGACTTCCCAGCCTCAGGCTGAGACGCTCGGCTGCGCCTGTGAGTCACACATGTTTCGGGGAAAGCCCTTCGGCTGAGGGGTGGAACTGCGAGGGTTGGTCAAGCTGCATGCTGATGTTGTTGAGTTTAGGGTCTCGTAATGTTTCAGGTTTCAGCCATCGGGCAGTCATGCCGGAAAAGAGCTTGAAGTGCCATCTTTCTACTGTCGGGTTCCAGGGTGCAGGATTCTTTGTTCTCAAAACCGAAAAAGCACCTCAACCCTTACCTCTGCATGGTGGTGCTTCCAGATCCAAACTCTGTACTCCCAAGAGCCTCTCAGCTGTATGCGGACCCCCCCAAGGCCGGCAAAGAAGAGGTGGAAATTGGGTCCCTTGTCTGCAAACGAGTGTCGCTCTGTGTGTGTGTGTGTGGTTGGGTTTAATTTATTGGAAAGGCACAAGGACATCAAATGAACCCTCTGATTCAGAGATTTCTGCCGGCACAAAGTCTCCGGCCTCACAGTCCCGCAGTGGGGGCCTGGTCGCTTAATGGTCTCCTGCCTCGTGCGATCGCCTTCCAGTGCAACATGAGCATACGTATCGTAAGCTACTCACGACGACATATTCATGAAGGTGGGGTTGGCTGCATTCCAGTTCACATTGAATATGACGCAGTCAGCCCCTTTGGCCCTCCACTAGATGAGAAGTATTAGAATTACTCCAGAACCTTGAACTCTAAACCGAAACGGCCCTACTGTAAATTGTGCAGCATACTATAGCATACCATGCTATACTATTCTATGCTATACTCCATGCTATACACCGTGTTCAGAGAAACCGGGCGAAGGTACCCTGGCAGTCCAGGCCGTGCTGCGACTTCGGTCGGAGGCCCGCTCTCCACCGCCTCAGCGTCGCGACAGCGGCCTGGCCCGAGCTCGTTTAACAGCCATCTGTTTTAAGGGTTTAGGGGTGCTGTAGACGAGAGGCATCGTCGTGATGATGATGATGGTGATGATGATGCCGATGATGATGATGGTGAGGATCAAGATGATGAATGTTAATAAGAAAAGATGACGATGACGCGTATAAGATTTATAAAATACTCGCGACATGATCGACGTCGCCATCGTGGTCGCGGCAAAATGGAACATGGTGTGGTGGTGGTGATAACACCTCAGCAGCAGCAGGAAGAGCCGTGGCAGGAGGATCATCAGGAATAGTAATAGTAGCAGGAGGAGCATCAGTAGTAGCAGCAGAAGTAGCGGTATCAGTAGCAGTAGCCGTACTGGTGGCGGTGGGGGTGAAGCAGAGGTAGGTCTAGAGTACGAGTAGGAGAGTAGTAGGATTTGGTGCAGGAGTCAGAGGAGAAGTAGTGGTGGTGGTGGTGGTGGTGGTGGTGGTGAAGTGTGGTCACGGTGGAGCAGTAGGCTTGTGACTTTCCATTACTGATGTTGTTTCTCTGGCTTGATTTTTCTTTCGATTCTTTGGCAGAACGCATGAAGAAAGATTGCATCTCCAAGGCCAGTCGAACGTCAAAAAGACACAGATAGTCAGGGAGCTAGAGCCGCCGCCTCCACCTCCTGAGAGCGACTTGGCAAGACAGCACCTTTTTCCTCACTCGCCAGTGTTCGCTCTAGAGTCTGGCGGGCCAGGCCCGTCTTAGTGCAGTGCCAGCCGCAGACGTGACATGGGTATGACCACCCATACGTACCAGTTTGTGTCCGCCACCTGGTTGCGCAGGCATCGCCGCTCCGTCAGCGCCAGCGAGGAAACCCAGACCCAAAGTGGAGAAAGTGGAGAAAGCCAGCAATGAGACAGTGCCGAAGACGGAAGAAAACAATTCCATCCAGACGCTCCATGAGGCCAGCACGCCCAGCAAGTGGTATGGCTACTGTGTCGACACAAAAGTTTCTCGTGGATGCCAGCCGCCGTGGCTGTATGCTCATTGAGGGTTCAGAAATCCGACATGAATGGCGAGGGCTGTTTGAAAGATCCACTGAAGCCCCGGACTCGCCCAGCTAACTTCGACCCACGGCGTTAAGACAGGCACCAGCGGCACCGCAGAACGGCGTGGATGACGGCATCAGCAGCGAGGCGAAGGCACTGCAGGAGGTCCCGCAAGTTCTTCTCCCAGCAGCTAAGCTGCAATTTTGAGCGAAACTTGTACCCATACCCGGAGAGCCCCCGAACCTCTAAGAACTTCGCCGCCGCCTCGCTGGACAACGGGGCAAGCCTGGCCTTGACCGCCGCGGCAATCCAGGTCACAGGGTGAGATGGGAAACTGCAGTTCGCGCACAGGGAATGACCTGAGCCTGTAGGCGAGCTCTCCAAGGTTAGGCTGCTTTAAGTGTTCGCATGTGACATGCTTATAGATGTCATGAGATGAAGGCATCGGGGCATGTTCAGCAGAATTAGGTCTTCGTACGGCTTGTCAGTTCAGCAATTTCAGTGGTGACGTCTCAAAAGCCCTGCTGAAATCACATCTGCAGGCGATGCGTTCATTGGACGAGCCCGACCTGTCCCATTTCCGAAGCTGAGCGCACCTAGCTTTGGCCTTGCCTCGCGACAAGGGTGGTTCTAGCCGATTGTCGCTCTCAAGGGTCGGCACATACTGTCCAGGCTTCTGGCTGCGTTGTGCGAGCCGAGGAAAGTCAGAGGCCAGGCTGCTGTCGGCTCGCACGCAGACAACAGGCTTTCTGTCCCACGACAGCTCTCGCATCACTTTCTTCTCGGCCAAAACCGACTCGGCCAACTCCACAGCCTCGGGGCCGCACCCAGAACTGGTATAACCACAGTCATGTCAGTTACGACTACGCTGGGCTGTGGGCTTCGCCGTGACTAATGCGCTGTTTCTAGGCCGGCTTCTCGCCGTACACCTCGCAGACGGATCTCCTCAAGAATGCATCTGGCACTACGCTTTCATACCAAAGCTCTGCGGCCAAGCTCTCCATAGCATCGATCGAGGAGGAGGCAGGCTCGAATCCGTCTGCCCAGGCGCCAGGGCAGGAGTCAAGAAGCGAGACTCGGAGCGACCAAAACCCAAGCTAGATCTCAACCTCTCCCAGAGTCCGAGAGTCGAATAAAAATTCACAAGCTTGAGAAGTCATTCAGCTAGAATAGCTCCGACTTGAATCCAAGACCTCTTCAGATCCCCTTCAGGCCAAGGTGGCAGCCAGCGAGGCTGATCGCCAGTGGCCAACTGTGGGAGCCCTTGAGGAGGAGCTCATTGGCGGAGCCGGCCCGTGTTGAGCTGTGGCATGCCACACTATGCCACAATTATGAGCAGTCATGCACCAAGGCCTGTCTTGCATTGCTCGAAGACTCGACACGAGAGAGCACGGGGAATACGAGTCATGATACTAGTAGTGGCCCATAGGTCCTCGTGCGAGGGGGGGGGTTCGGGGTTCGATACTCGAAGTTGCAGCCAGGAGGCATCGTGGCAAGCCCGAGCCCCGAGCCCGACGATGAGGCAGAATGCTAGGATACTTTCGAAAGCCATGATGCCTGAGGCATAGGGTGCAGTCGGGTCTTCTTACAACGACGGCTGCGGTGCTGTCGAGAAACCATCAAGTCGGGCAGGAGGCAGAAGCGATGAGCGGCTTTGGCTATGTTCTGGAGATGCGCAAGCCCCCACCAATTTCCACGTCCCGGCGTGGCAGCATCAAGGCGCGCTGAAGGGTCTTCAGTTGACCGATCTGCAAGATAGTCCAAAGCGAGCGTGGCAATCATAGACATGGATGGGTCTTCATTTCGGTATTCAGTTGCAGAGTGTATATCAGGAGATCGGGCCACGCGCAGTGTACTGCAGGTCTGATGAGGTCTTAGCTGGAAGCTGACAACCCATAGTACCAATGCTATATTGGGGCTTCCTTATTTTTTACTATAGTATAATCAGTATAATGTATATACTCTAAAACCCTACTCTATGACGGACTCCCTTCCTCAGGTCTTTGACGGGAAAGTAGCACCAGAAGTCCTCGGCCAGCCCACACCGAGTCTGGTCTTGTCAAACTTGGCCAAGCCCTCGCCGCGGCAGCCTGCATCCTGCTGCATTATTGTTAATTATTGTCCACGGGTAGTTGTGACCGCATACATACCTTCACAGCACCCAGCTTGGTTTGCGATTGTCGCTTTTTTGCTTGCTTTGGCCCGGTGCACCCGAATGAACCCAAACTGTTTCCTGACGCCTTTATCATGGATTGATATGGATTGAGCCCTTGGCAGAAGGCATCAGCGCGGGGGGCGAGAGAGCCGTCAGGCCAGGCGCTGCCAGGACTCGCGAGCAACGCAGCGCCAGGCCTCAGACCATGAATCAGTTGCGTGTTCGCTGGAGGTGCAACGAGGAGACGACCAGTTTACAGCTGAAAGAAGGCCACTTGGCTCCGGACGGCCTCCGACAGCTTTGCCTGAAAATCACCGACAGTGTGCAAGGCCATGCGTTTTTTCGAGCTCATGACCGAGCGTGCGCTGGCTGTTTGAAGACTGAGTGGCACTCCACGTAGTTCAAGCGGTTCAACCGAGATCATGTGTAGCTGGAAGCAGCATCTCGTTCAAGCAGGCTTCTTTTGGACACACCGCTGAGACTGCACGCCTCGCCTCCTCTTGCTCCCTCCATGCATGTGCAGAAGTCGACTCGGGAGTCATCTGATTGGAATCGGCGGGGTGGAGGAAAGGGACAGAGTGCCCAGCTCAACGCTTGTACACAGATCGGCGTGTCCGGAGCGAAGCTGGAATCGAGGAGATTGACCCGGCTTGCCTTGCTACTAAGCCGATGATATACAACAGCGCAATGCATAAAATCCTGACACACTAAAGCTAGCTAGATTCGAATGAGCTGCCGCGAAAGTGCCTGCAGCATCTGGTTAACGAGAGAGCCAGTCCCAAGGACATGGCCCCTCAGATCAAAATGCAGGTCCTCTGAGCATAACGGGAACTGCAGGATTTCTCAAAGAGGACCCTCATTTTGAGAACCCGCAAAGCGTCTTTGGGCTCTTTTCCTCCTGGTGGGCATAAAGCCATGCTTGCCGTGAGTCCAGGCGTGGCCAAATTGGTGGCCGTACGTCTGCGGGCAGGTCTTGTAGGAAAACCGGGGAAGACATGTATGCATGGGAGGCTGATCGTTGGAGCACGTGGGTCACATGGAAGGAGTCAGTACGCTTTACTGCGATACGACGATAGACGAGTAGAGCAACGGCCATGTTCGCAGTTAACATGCCAGTTTGAGTATTGCAAGCACAGTACGCAAAGGTCTGCAAAGTATGCTCCACTAATACGTGTGAACACAGTGGCCACTTGAGCTGGAAGCGAAAAGCCAGGTGCACAGTCAAAGTAAACTGAGCTCCAAAAGGGTTCACTAAGGGTCACTTTTTGCTTTGTTGGCCTGGGATTGTGAGGGCGCTCCTTGAAAGACTTCCTGTCGAGTTATGAAAACCTCTAGACGTAATTATACTTGGGGTTGCAAGTAGAGCCCCCGTGACTCCACTAATTAAGGAATTCTGAACGTCGAATTCGACCGGTATGGTTCTTGCGATTTGCGTTTTGCTCGCGCCTTAGACACGTTGGCTCAAGACAAGCTAGGCGTCAGTCTCTGCTTCTGCTGGAATTTTCCCCGAGAAACTATGGTTTCCACGGCCAGAGTGTTCAGCATCGCAGTGTTCGGCCTCTTCATGGGAGGTGGGTGCACGGTGGAATACAGAATATGAACCCCAAACACCTGATGAGACTCTGCACTGAACAGCGGCATACCCTACCATGGTGAACCCTGTGGTGTACAAAGAAGAAGTACTATGACGGCACACCGTGTTCGGTTCGAAGGTGGCATGGCCTCGAACGACACGAACTCGACAACCACGACCACATCCGGAATGGTGGCATGCAGTACCCTCACGAGCAAGCCTGACTGCGATGCGGCGTGTGCCTCGTCCTTTTCAGCCCATTGTATTTGACAAGCTCTTGAACAGACGGCCCATGAGTCCTGCCAGTAGCTCATCAACCCTGAGTCTTGCGACCCCTCCACCCTGCAAGGTGGTGGAACTTCCGCGACCTGGGTTGGGGGGATGCAATGTACTGCAACGGACGGCTCCTCGCACCTTGGCTTTGTTTTCGCCTTTGAGCAACTCCTCAATGTGTTCACAGACCTTTAAGTACTTGGGAGCAGTTCGATGCCGAGCCCTATGTTGTGATATACTATACTAGACTAGGCGACACTGCAACTGCATGTTGCGTACGCTCTGAGCCCAGAGGTGTTGCGAAACAACAACCACGACCACCACGACAGCAGGTGCATCCGCGATCTCAGCAGCAACTTGGTATTTTGACAGGTTCAATCTTTTCCAGCATATGGGTCGACTCGCGACTTGCGAAACCGTTAAGCAAACACAGGAGACGGTTCTCAGCGCACTGGGCAGCTGGTGAATCTAGGTCCGAGAATCTCAACCCAGAACCGAAAGTAGCGCTTTACGGCCCGAGGCAGAAAGAAAGACGAAAACCCTTCATTCTAAGGCAAGCCTTTTTGGAGCCCCGGGCATGGCACTGACGCTGGCTGTGCTAGCGGCTCTGAAGCTGTGAGGACCGAAAAGGTTAAAGCAAGGGTGCTTGCCAGGAAAGACGTCAGGATTTTGGGTCGTCACTGAGGATCCGAGAAACTACATATCTCTTTCTCTACACACATGTGTTTATGTGCACAGATAAGACGGCGAATCCGTTTGATGCGGGTCTTTGCTGGGTCTCCCAAGTCTCTTGCGATTCTTCCATGTGCTATTTCGCACAGCCTAGGTTGCATGAAAGTCAACGTATGGCAGGCAGGCTGTCGGCCTTGTCGTCGGGCCAATGCGCCAAAATGGTGTCATGTTCCTTGTTCAACTTGACTGCTGTACCCTCGACAAACATGGACAAAAAGCCCTTGCATTGCGGCGCAGCGGACTGAAAGATTTCAAAGTGTGCTCCAGCAGATTTGTTTCGCATGATGGAACAGGCAGCCGACTAAAACTGAGTTCAAAGTGGTTTGTTGGGTCGGCAGGCGATGTCTCGTTGGGCGGGTGACGACATTGACCTTCGGGCCAGTTTTCGACTGCAGAGCAATCTTGTTTAGCCAGGTGTGTGAGTGGTTCGCGCGGCGCGCTGCAGGACATGCTTGGACATCCAGCCATTCTCTTCTTTCAGAGTTGCTCCTGAGATCAGTTTTGGAGCTGCGGATTGCTGTTCGCAGGCTTTAGGTTCAAGGCTGTAGATGCCGGCCTAAAGCATGTCAGCCCAACTGAACGATTCATGACCGCGAGCATCAGCGGACGGTGGTCACGGAAGCCTTGAAACAGGCGGCCTGGCTGCAGAATGCAAGTCAGGTGTTCGGTGCACCGTGTCGGCTTCAACCATTGCAGGTGCAGCGCAATCTGGAGCAATGCTCGTAGCACCTGCAACTTGTCCGAGTTCATGTTCCTGAAAGATAAGGCATTGCGGGAGTCGCACGTGTGTCTTGTCTTTGCAAAATGCCGTGAGGAACTTATGATGCACGTCGGTCCGCCGCCCCAAGAGGTGCTTGTCCAGTGCTTAGACTCTGCTTGCTGTGCACTAACTGCGGAGCGGAGCGCTGACCGGTCATTGAAATTCATTTATGGCTTTCGAATGGTTGTTGATGTCGCCAACTCAAGTCCCAAAGCTTGTTTCCTCGAAGCAAGGACCAACTGTGGCTGTGGAAACTCCTCATGGCCGGCTTTACACTGGTCTTCATCTTGCAGGTCGTCGCGCTGGATGTCGTCCGCGCCCGAGAGCTGGTTTCGGTACCATCACTGCGGTCTCTCTGGTTTTGCCTGGCTCCTGTTCTTCTGGCGGTGGTGGTGGTCGTGGTGGTGGTGGTTGTAGTACAGTATGGTTCCTGTCATTGCCGAAGTCTCAGACTTCAGAGCAGTCTTGTTGCAAAGGCAGGTGTCACACTATGCAGCACTTGGGCATCGCGGGCTCTTCCATTGATGCGTATATACGGCTTCGAAGCACCATGCTGCAGGCTGGCGCTCTTCTGACAGGTCTACTGCTCGGCTTCGGTTCCGAGCCGAGTTTCTGCAGCTATAAGATTAACGACCGTGCTAACTCACAGTAACAGAGTAGTATGAACCACCTTTGAGGTATGAGAGTGACCATGGAGATAATAGTCGTGCCGTTTATGACCGAGATAATCATGACAGGCGTTGTCACCGTGATGGCGATAGCAGTCGTCGCAGGAATGGCAGTGAAAACCTGAAACAGCATCAGCAGCAATCATAGTATGATTGCCACTCATGATCGTCGTTGTCATTGTTTCCACGGTTTGTTGTCGTCCTCGTTCTAGTCGTCCTCGTCGTCCGCCGTCGCTGCAGGGTTAGGAGCACGGAGTAGGACGGAGTCGTCTGGTGCATCGGCAACAGCAGTAGCAGTAATGATTACAAGACACGGTAAAAGAAGACGCCGGCAACCACCACAACACAACGAAGCCATGACATAACTGCTGCAGTGAGCTTTTACCTGCGATGCCTGAGGCTGGATCATGCTCAGAGATGGTATGACAGAGATGGCCAAGTACGCGCTGATTTACGCAGCACCCTGGCAGCGCCAGCAGCCAACTGCGAGTTTTCGACTCCCCGCCCTTTCCTCACGCTCTCAGATCTCAGAGCCTGTGGCTGTTTTTGGAGGTGCTCTGTGGCCTGAACTTCTTTTTCGAAGTCTTGCCGCTGATCAGCGAGATCAGTGGCAGGGTGACAAGGAGCCATTTCCTCCTGAACAATGGCAGCCTTACGAACAGCGGAGCCTTCCCACACATCCTCACCGTTTCATGGAAGGAGGGCAGAGTTAGCCACGCCGACCATAGAGGTTCGAGTCTCAGAAGCGATCTGACAGAGCCAGTGTCCAAAGCCTTGGAGGGCTGGGTGCGACATGTGGGATTCTCCGGACCGTTTGCCAAGGTAAATGGAACCCGAGTGCTTCCACCTCAGAAAGAGGGGAACGCAGAGCTGTGTTTGCAAGCCGAGCAGTGCGGCTCGCAGACAGCTGCAGAGCAGAGTACGTAGAGCTTTGTGACTGCGGCATGAGGACGCATGAGGAGCGCTGGGAGGATATCACCCCACATGCTTCCGAGGACAACCTACACTCTGGCAACACAGACGCACCCGTTTTTCGATCCGCCTCTCGGTCTTGCGTACAACGCGCCGTCCTCGGGAGTGGGCGTTCTTCTGTTGTCAGGAAGTTTCTTCATGTTTGTGAGCTTGTTTGTACTTGTTCCAGCACCTGCAGCGTGACAGGCTCACAGTAGCTCCAGGTGTTGGCAGCTACAGCCATGGATGTTTGACTTCGATGCCCTTGAAGAGGCCCAGGCGAGTTCTCGGGCTCTGCAAGCCAAAGTTGCTGCAAAAGGAGCCCCAAACGTTCCGACAAAGGCCGGGTTGGAAAAAGACATGCAGAGACCGGCAGATAGCCGAACCCCGAACCTCAGTCCCTGCAGCAAATCTCAGGCTAAACTCTCAGCAGGATCTGACATCCTTAATCGCCCCGAAGGTTGCTGCAAAAGGCAGCACAGCAGTTGGCCGAGATGCGCCGAGAGGTGCAACGCTGCAAGCGACGGCCGAAATGCCCAGCGAAGGCGGGGTTTCCAAGGAGGGTCTCATCAGACGCTGTAGATCGAGCGTCGCTGCTTCCAAACCGGTCATGCTGCAAGACTTACATGCCTGCCGAGCCCTTGTGCAGGAGTCAATAAAGCAGCTGCGAAAAGCTCGAGCCCGGCGCCTGCGCCCATTCCTAGGCTAACCCACGACGAGAGGCCGGAGAGTCAGCTTGCAAGGAATCCCAAGACCTGCACACTGCAGGAAGCCAGAAGTCTCGTGCAGATGTATAAGGAAGCGTAGGGTCCTGTGCCTTGTGCCCCAGTTGCGAGCTGATACCACATTGCTGGCATCTTGAATTCGCCAACACCCAAGTCGCAAAATCGAAACCCGGGAGCCACAGTTTCCGATCTGAACCTGGCTCTGAAGACCAGGCGGCGGCGCTGGGCCCTGACGGGCTCGGCTGTGGCTAGCATGCTGCATGCGACTGGGTCGATTGCGGCAACGCTTTGGAAGAAAACTGTGTACAATGTGTATGGGTTTAGAAGAGTCGTCCTAAGCCCTAAGCCCAGCTTCAGTTCCTGAACCTATACCTTTGGGCTTAGGCCTTTCTTTTGTGAGGTGCGTAGAGCGAAGCCTGCTTGATACGTCCAGGAGATGCTTGAGTTCGAATTCGTTTGCGGAAAAGGATGGATGGAGGGAATGTGCCGGGCCAAGCTCTGCACAGTCCGCCGTGCTTCGATGTCGGCTTGGGGGTCCTTGCTGCGATATCTCGCAGTCACCCGTGTGCTAGGCAGCGTTTGGTGGAAAACACGCCCCGGGACCACATCGGACGCCGCTATGGTTTGGATGACTTTGCAGGCAGAGAAGACTCCAGCCAGTCCGGGGGATGTGTTGCTCTGTTTCATGTGGGTTTACGCTCTCCACAATGCGTCAGCATCTGGAGAGGACCCTTGCTGCGCGACCACTTCATCCAGTGGACTTCCAGCCACTCGAGGGCCGAGAACTTCCGGAAGGTGATCTTGCGCTTGGAGATGAAGGTAGTGGTTGCAACGAAGCACCTGGAAATCTGGCCCACATAGTCTGCACCGGGTTTTGGGCTTCAGGGGCCGAAAAGAAATTTGGGATCGATCAGGGCTAGGCACGTCACGAACCGCTGGCCGCTGCAGCCTCTTCGGGCCAGTCTTGTTTACCCGGAGCTGACATGTAGAGATCGGCTTCAACAGTGCTGTGTATGTCGCCATATCCATAAGTGCGATTTGCTGCCAAGGACCTCTCGTACGACTGGACATTGAGGCAGGGTGGTTAGATTGTGCAGTTCATGTTCGAGTATCGTACCTGAGATCATGCACACACACACACATATATGTAATTGCATATGTGTATATAGGCATGGGTGACTGCAGGTACATGTACGTATATATGTGTGTACATGTATTTATATGTCTGTGTGTGCGCGCATGCATGTGCACATGTATGTGTCTGTCTGTGTAGGCATATGTGTCTCGTCTGTGTATACGCCCAACGTATGCCGAATGTTATAGTTGTAAATATATATATATATATATATATATATATATATATATATACACATGTACACATACGTGTATGTAGACACGCATGTATGTTTGACGTTCTATGTGACTGTACGTTGCTGTTCTTGCAGAATGCTTTGAAGATGGGTTGGTCCGGTTTCTTCCATGGAAAAGCCATGATAGACCAACTAAGTTCTTTCCGTGTTTCTGGAACGCGCCCAGCGGTTCTCCAAGTAAGACATGGTGTGATGGCTGAAGTATCATATCTGCCGTGAAGATAGCGTTATCACAGCAGCGGAAAGACTAGATCAGATAGTCAGTCAGGAACTCAATATCAGAATGCCTTCTGCGACGCATCCATGGAGACTTTTTTGACGGGAGTGTCGAGCATTGCGCAGGCCGGGTGCTTTCCAAGAAAGCACAGCTAAGATGGCCCGGCAGCTGGGAGCCACCGAGAACCCGCCCTTTGATGGGTTTATGCACATGAAGAGGGGAAGCTTGGAGTGACTTATCCCAGATGGTTCAAGTTCCGCAGGTCTTTCGATCTCAGGGCCGGAAAGGTGGAGTAGTCACAGCTTCCGGCGGTACTCATGCAAGCACGAGTCTGCAGAATCTGAAACAACAAAGCAGATCCTCTGGGGCAGAGGACAGGATGAGCAACTTGTTGTCGGAGCTCCGCTACTTAATTGGTTCAAACGGCACCTTCGCGCAGTTCCGCTCACTTGATGTTCCGTCTAGGCCTAGGAACGTGGCACGGCGAGGCGTTCTGCTGCGAGGGCCACTAGGGCATCAACAGCCAAAGAACGACACTACAAACAGCTCGGACACTCCAGCAGAAGTTGGCAAATAATGCCGTCTCGCTGAAGTTCGCAAGGGATTACCCTGCGCCTGACCGCAAGCGATTTGTGCCCGCAATCATGGCGACGGCATGCTTTGTTTTTTGATTTCAGTTCAGTCATGCCAGAGACTTGCAGAGGGTTGCTCCTAGATTCGAGCCGTCTTGGCCTACTGGAAGCGGCTGTAAGGTTGCTGCTGGTAGACTGCACGCCTCAGCAACTTAGGACTGCTCTTTGTTGGCTTGCCGCTTCGATTGTACTTGGCCGATAGCCCTCATCTCTACGAGTTAATCCGGCGCATGAGATCTCTGGCCGACCCCGCAATTGCGGGTGAGGTGGTGTCTGCTGCTTGCCCGGAACAGTCCTGCGAACGTGCTTGTGATCCTTGTCTCCGTGGTCCAGGGTTCTGCTTTCAGCCGATGTCCCAGGTGTCGAACGTCCGGAAGGTGCTTGATGCAGATGGCTTCTGGGCTTGTTCTAAGTAACTTAGGTGAACTTGGCGGAATACATGGTACCGAACAGAGGTTGCTCATTGTGGCAACTTAATGCGATGTAGGTACCCCGCAATAGTGTGTGTATGTATGCATGCATGCATGTATGTATGTTGGATATGTATGTATGTATGCATGCATGTTTGTATGTAAGTCTGCAAGTATGTGTGTATTTGTGGTTTTATCTCTGCATGTAACTGTAAGTAAGTACGTATGTATGTACGTATGTATGTCTGTACATATGTATGTATGTATGCATGTGTGTATGTAGGCATTCAGGATCCAAAAGCACCCAACCATAAGCAGTGGTTACTTAAAGAGGGGATTGTGGGTCATCCCCACCTTATGGTTTTTGTTGTGAAACACACGTGTGTGTGCAGTAACAACCGTTAACGACGGCCGTCGCTAGCACTCTGGCTCGACGAGTTCAAAGATTTTAGATTTCTGATCATTTTCGACGCCATGTCGACTACTCCAGCGGCAGCCTCGTCGTCGGCGCAGCAGATGCCTAGAAAGGCACCGCCGCAGCGGCCCCTGACGACGGCTGCGCCGGAAGCTGGCGTCCACGTCGCAGTCCGAGAGCTTCGCAACGTCCTTCGGAAGGGACGCGACGGTGGATTCGGCGCATGGGCGGAACTGGCGGCGAGCCTGGACATGGAGGACCGGACCTCACTCGCCGAGCTCCTCGCTGTGATGGCCGTATTTCCACCGACTTCCCCACCCACCGACGAGGAACGCCGGTCTACATGGGGAGGCTGTTCCCGCAGAGGGCCACGACGGAGGGGACGCCGGTGACTGTGAAGGCAGCTCCAAGACCGCCGCCGACCACCTCTGCCACGCCGGGACATGGATCTATGACGCCCAGCTCGACGGGTCCCAGGACATCGCCGATGGCATCAACCACGCCGCCTCCACCGACGGGTCCCGGGAGCTCATCGGCGGCGACTATCCTGCAGCAGAGCGTCGGGGCGCCGCCCACGGCGTGGGCACACCAGGTGAGCTGGCAGCCGCCGCAGCCCACAGCGGCAAGGGACGACGACCAGGTGTCGGGCACGGTCTTCCTCGACGCCCCTACATCGTCGGCTACCAGGACTGCGGCGGCCTTCTTGGACCCGACGGAAGCGAGGGAGCCTGAGACCACGGCGTCGCCGACCATAACGGGGTTCCCGGGTCTCGCCGCAATGGAAGCCCAGTCGGCGATGCCTTCTGGCACGGCCACGCCGGCATATTACATCGACGCGGCTGGTCATCGGGTGAGGGCCCCGCCAGAGGGGGCACGACGTCCTGTCGACGCCACTGGCATCCAGACGCCGGCTTCGACTGTCGGCGGGGGGGGCGCCGAGGAAGTCATCAACATCGCCGCGTCACTGCTTCGGCAGGTGGGCCCCCGACAGGATGACGACGCCCACTCGACGGCCGGGAGCCAGACTTCGGCAGCCAGGGGGCGGTCGACGCAACGAGGAGGGCGGCCGACCATGGACCCGCCGCCGCCTCCCCCAGTGGTCGACGCACCGCCATCCAGGTCCAGCTTCCCGCCGCTCTCGGCGGCTTCTACGCCATGGCAGTCCACACCGCCGAGTCCGAGGGCATCCACAACGAGAGCGCCGACCCCCCCGGCGGTGGCGGCAGAGCGCCCGGATTGGATGTTCCCGCCGGGCGCAAGGCCAGCAGACGACCCCGCCGGCTCCTCCATGGACGCCGGGCCTTCGACCACCACCAGGACGACGACACCGACGGGGGCACGCTCAAGGTCCAAGACGGCGGCGGGGTTCCGCGAGCACCTGAGCGACGAAAGGATCCGCCAAATCGAGATCAACATGACCGACGACTATCGGCAGCACAAGCGGGCTATGCATCGCCGGGGCGCTCGCGCCGTCGACGACCCGCCGAAGTCAGTCAAGCACTTGCTCAGGCGGACCCTGAACGACGTGATCGCCGAGGAGAACCTGGACAAGCAGGGCATCGACGGGCACAAGCCCAAGCCCCCGCCGACCTCGGCGCCCACCTACTGTGCATACTGGTTCTGCTCGACGCTACCCGCCAACACACGCGGCGCCCGGATCCCCTGGCAAAGCCAGGAGGCCGGCCGACGTGTGCTTGGTTGGTGCTCGCACCCTTGCACGTCGCCGCAATGCCCTCATTTTGAAGACCTTTACGACGTGGACTCGCCGGGCCTAGGCCGCTGCCTGCGTCCCGTCGTCGAGGGCAACGGCCGTGACCATATCGGTCACGAGTGCGCCGCGTGCCATGGCATGGTCGGCGCACAGGACTGAGATTTCACGACGCCAGCGGGTGCCCCTGTCACCCGGCTCCGGCCATCGGGTCGGCACCGCTGAGGCAGTCGACGGCGGCGGGGGCAGGATCAGAGCCCACCGCCGCCCTGTATTACTTATCTTCTTTTCGACGTTCTCGTCGTTGCCAGAGTTGCCTAATCTCGGCGGTCACGCCGCACGGTGCCTTTTGGCGGAGCCCGACGCACCCGACAAAAAGAGTGCCGTGCACCTGTTGCCTCGTCCGTCGCGCCTGCCGTCGCTGTCGGCTTCTCTCTCTCTCTTCGTTCGTTCTCGGTCGTCGCCGTTGCCTTTTCTGCTTCCGCCGCAGCCTTTTCTGCTCTGGCTCGAGACGCCGACTAGCACTAGCCCCCTGCATTCCCCGACCCAGGACGCCGGTCATGAACCAACAAGTCGCATCGTCGGGACCCTCCGCGACTGTCGCCGACTTCTTTCGCGACGTCGCCTCGGCAGGCGGCTCGGCCTACATTGCGACATTGGCCAGGTTCGGCGCGATCAACACGCCGGCAGTGAGGGACTCCTTCGCCGTCCTTTTGGAGAACGGCGTGCCAGAGGGCCTCCTGCTGCAGATCCTGGCGCCGGTGCCGCCGACGCAGCCGGAACCAACGGCGGCCAGGCCACCCAGGCACGACGTGCCGAATAGAAGGACCCTACCCCGGGCATCTTTGACGGCGGCCTTGGAGGCTATGGACCCCGGGCGACGCCAAGACACACTGGCAGCCATCGACGCCAATCTGCTGGCATCGTCGACCCGCCGGGCCATGGAGTCGCGAGTGAGGACGGTGAGCGCCCTGGCCGACAGAGGTCAGTTCCCCCTCTTCCCGCTCGACGCCAACAAGCTTCACACCATCGCCGGGGCTATGCGGATCGCCGGCTACAGATCGACCGGGCTGTACCTCGACGCTGTGGTATGGCACCAGGAGAACACCCTCCACACGCCGGTCACACCTGGACTTCGACGTGTGGTCAAAACCCTGACCAAGGCAGCGGCGAGGGGCCTGCCAGGGTCCAGGCTCAAACAGGCATTCGACCTCGACGAGCTCAGCAAGTTGGTCGACGACACGGCGCCATTCGGGCCCTTCAACGCCGGCCTGGTGGCTCATGCCGTCGATGTTGTCATCGTCGCTACTTGGTTTATGCTGAGGGAGGTGGAGCTCGCGGCGGCCCGGGTCAGAGACCTCGGCGTGACCTTGTCGACGGTGTCGCTCGACATACCCCTGCACAAAACGGCGCAGGGGGGGCAGGCCGACCTCACACGACGCACTTTCAGGTGCGTTTGCACTTCGACGGCCCACCCACTCTGCCCAAGATGCGCCGCACACCGCCGGCCGACTTCCTGTTTCCGACTAGACCGACGGTGCAGAGATCCAAGGCGGAGTCGGCAGAGATGTTTCGGCTGGTGCTGGACGCCGCCGGCTTCGAGACGGTGTACCTCGACGAACAAGGCAAGCGCCGCTTGATCTTCGGCGGCCACGCCGCCAGAGTGGCAGGTGCGACCTTCATGGCGATGAGGGGGGTCCCGGTCGCCGTGATCCAGCTGCTCGGCCGATGGGCCTCCACCGCCGTCGAACGGTATGTCCAACAGGCACCCCTCGCCGTGGCAGCAGGCGTTCCAGCCCAGGCCTTGGCAGCGCCGAGTTCGTCGACAACAACGCCGGCCCAGCCCCTGGCGACACCGACGCCGCCGGCCCTCATGGACTTGTTGCCGACGGGGAACTCAGCAGGGCACGCCGATACGGCGGTGCCGGCCCCGCAGCAGATGGTGCCCAACGTCGACTTCGCGGCTGAGGTGCCCGGCGTGGAGTTCGTGCCAGAACCCGCCAGGATGCCGGTAGCCGACGCGATCGGCGACTCGGCGCCCCGGTATGTCATGAACTGCCGCACCAAGATGGTGCACACGCCGGGGGTCGACGAAGCGTCGACAGAAAGGTCGGATTGGCAGGCCAAGTGCGGCTGGCCTTACGGCGTGCGACAGTTCTTTCGCCTGTCCGAGCTGCCGCCGGATCCGGCCTTATGCCGCAAGTGCTTCCCGACGGAAACCGTCGATGTTGAGGCACCGGAGGCGATCGACTCGTCGTCGAGCTCCTCGTCCTCCACTAGCGGAGCGACGTCGGACTCCGACTGAGCGACGCCGGGCTTGACCGACGGATCGCCGTCACCATTTTCCGCCGAGGGGTCGCCGGCAATAGCCGTGTGCGGCCCCGACGGCTCTAGCACCAACTGGACGACGACCCAGGAAAACCACACACAGCCCAGATCAGATCACCGTCGAGGGCTCGCGCCCGGAACTTAACGACGGATGTCTCACCCGTAGCCCTTTTTCTATCGAGCACGGAAACCGACTTGGGACGCCGTAGGTGTTGGTTGCCATGGCACTCCCGACGGTCGCGGCCTCAATGGTGCAGCTGGACGACCTCCTCGCCGCGGCCGGCGCCAACGACAGCATCAAGAACTACATCACGGCCCGAAAGATCACCACGACGCCCACATTGGCCCTGATCGCCAAGGACGTCGAGAGGTTCACGACGCACATCATCCACCCGTACATCACCGGCATCCGCATCGACGGCACCGATCACAAGGTGGAGGACGGGCAGGACGATGTGGCCACGGCGGTCATGACCCACTTGTTCGTCGAGGCCACACGCCAATGGACGGCCGCTTCGTCGTCGCCGGTTCCAGCCCCGGCGGCCTTACCTGCGCCGGCGGCGGCGCCGCCATCGACGGCCGCGCCGGCTATTCCTGACAGGCCTCCCAAGACCTTCTCGGCGTGGAACCAGCAGGTCAACATCTACGAGGAGCGGCGCCTCGACGGGAAACGGCGGACCTTCCCAGCACATGAGCTCCTTGGCGCCGAGGAGGTGCTGGCCAGGATGTGGTTCGAGCACACCACCTCCAAGATGTATACGCCGGTCACCCTCGGCGAGATCGTGTCGCGACGCACCTGGACGGCGGCCCGGACCTTGAACCCTCTGGCGCTGTCCAGGTCGACGTCAGCCGCTAGCTCCAAGGCGCTGCGGCTTGAACACGGCCTCCTGCTCCAGGAGGAGCCGACGGAGTGGGTACCCAAGGGCCTCTTCTCCACTATCGACGGAGCCAACGCCGCCCGGTGGGCATGGATCTTGCTGGGCATCGGCGAGGAGACCGACGTCATGACATATGTCGACTGGTTCGTGGCCCGCGCCAGGGATAAGTCCAACCACGTCGCAGCCCTCCAGGCATACTGGCAGCGGACGTCGTGGAACCTGGCGATGGCACTCAGGAACAACCGGTCCTTCGGCGAGGCCACCAAGGAGATCATGGACGACGTGGCCACGTGGCAGGAGATCCTCCTGTCCACGCCGCACCCGACCAAGAGATCCGAGAAGGAGATCACCGACCGCACCGACGCCCCCAACGGCCAGGAAGAGGACGCCGACGACCAGCAGGCATGGACCGGAGGCGGCGGTCGCGGTGGCCGCAAACGACGACGCCAAGGGGGCCGGGGCCGAGGGCGCGGACGCGGCGGCAAAGATCAATCACAGGGCGGCGGCAAGAAGAACGAGCAGGACACCAACGCCGGCTGGTGGCAGCAGAAGACCGACGGGAAGAACCAACAGTGGTGGCACGGCGGCAACGGCGGACAGTCCAGCCAGCCAGAAGGCCAACGCCCGTGGCGCGGCAATGGCCAAGGCCGCGGCAACCGCCGCTAGGGACAGCACGGGGCCCCGTCGAACGCCCCCGCTGACGACGGGGTACCCGACCCACCGACCAAGAAAGTGAAGCTCTCAGGCCGGCGACCTAAAGGCGACGAGGTGATCGTGCTGTCCGCTTTCGACGGCGTCGGCGCGGGCCCGTGGCTGGTGTGGGACCTGGTTGGCCAGCCTAGAGCGGTCTTCTCATGGGAGGTGGACCGGGCGGCGATCCAGGTCATCGACTACCACATCCCCGACGTCCGGCACCGCGGCGACATCACGGAGGACACGCCGAAGGACCTGGCCAAGGACATCGAGGCGGTCGACCCCGACGCCCAATGCATCATCCTGTTTCTCGCCGCCCCGCCGTGCCAAGATTTCTCCAGGATCGGCGACAGAGCGGGTCACGGCGGTGATAGAGGCTACCTCTTCAACTTTACGGCTGAGTACGTCGCCGAGCTGACGCCGCTGATAGCACCTCGACGGCTTGGGAAATTGGTCGAAAACGTCGAGATGACGCAGGCAGACGCGGCGGCGGCCACCAAGGCACTGGAGTGCGAGCCCATCCTCTCCGACGCCGCCGACTTCGGATGGATCGGTAGGTCCCGCCTCTGGTGGTCGACGATCGACTGGGAGGAGCTGCCTCGCGACCCCTCGACGGGAGAACATTGGACATGGGCTCTACACCGTCGCTGGAACAGGCTGCGGCTGGACTCTCCCAGGGCAGCAGCCGACGACTTCGACCTCGACGGCCTCAAGTTCTCGGACTCCGTCGCCAGTGGCAGGGTCAGGCTGCCATGTGCGACGACACCAGCAGCCGACGAGGGAGGCAGAGCCGCACCAAGGTCGACGAGAGGGAAGATCACGTCGGACACCCACCAGCGGTGGCTCACCGGCGGACGGCAATTTGCGCCGTGGCACTACGCCAGAGACGCCATGATGACCGACGACCAAGGTCGACTACATCTGCTGCCGCCGAAGGTGAAAGAGCAGCTTCACCACATGCCGGCCGACTACACGGCGAGATCCACCGCCGGAGCACTCGACGACCGCACTCGACATCGCCTCATCGGCAACGGCTGGCACTGGGGAGTCGCACGACGTCTTCTTTTGGCGCTGTTGGTCTTCACAGCCACGGCACCGACGACGGCGACCCCAGTACCAAGATCACCTAGCCGATCGACGTTACAGTGGGTGGCTTCGTTGTGGGGACCCGGCGGTCCGATCATGGCGCCAGCTCCGCCGCGGACAGGTGTGGCGTACATCCAGGACCTCGACGAGCAGGCGCACTGGGACGCATCATGGTCGATGTCACACCCGCTGGCAGACGACGCCCCGTTGGAACCGTCGTGGGAACGACTCCTGGTTATTCGTCGAACTTGGCGCCACGACCTGGTCAGGATCCGAAGGGAAGTCGTCGACGAGGTCCGCACCATGATCGAGGACACAGCCGACGAGACCAGGGAGTGGCTAGCCGCCAGATCGTCGTGGGTCAGAGCTACGTACTCGACGCCGGATAAGCCGGCCCCGACGCAGGTGCTCGTCTTCCTACAGCTGCTCCGCCTCGTCGACTACCCCGACATCGACGCCCTCGAACACGACATGACGGAGGGCTTCCAGATGATCGGCGACATCCGGCCAGGACCAGGATGGAGGAAAAGGGACGACGGACGCTACCAGCACCCGACGGACATGGACACCTTCCGCCGGACCAACGCAGAGTACGTCCGCCGCAAGGTCTCCCAGCACGACGGCGGTGAATTCGCCGATCAGCTGCTCCAGGAGCTCATCGCCGAGAAGAAGCTGGGCAGAGTCATCGGCCCAACGACAGCGCCGACATGGCTGCACACCAAGGCCACGGCGGTGCCCGACCAGATCGAGGTGGACTCCCTGGTCGAACCGCCGCCCGGCGAACACTTCTTGGCAGGGTCCTTCCCAGTCTGCCAGACCGACGAGAAAGGCGACCTAAAGGTACGACGTGCCGAGGACTGGCGTCGCAGCGGGCACAACGCCACGGTCTCGGTGGACGACGTGCCGACACACCACTTCATCGGCAGCTTCGTCGACCTGGCACGACGCATGGTTCAAGACACCCCCGACGTCGTGGTCTTTGGCAACGACCTGCTCAACGCGTACCGCCAGTGGCCAGTTCGACGACCGGCGGAGTGCGGCACCTTCCTCTCGACCAAGCACGGCGTGACCTTTTGGTACCACCTGGCCATGAATTTCGGCGCTACGGCGTCGGTCTGGAACTTTAACAGGGGAGCCGACGCACTTCAGCAGCTACTCAGGGGACTGCTGCTACTGGCGACGGGTCACTACGTGGACGACTTTAACGGCCTCGACGACGCCCTCCTCGGCGAGTCGGCGATGGTATCGTTCCAGGACCTCTTCTCGGCGCTGGGCTTCCTCACCAAGGCGTCGAAGGCACAACACCCGGCGAAGAACCACATCGTTCAGGGCGTGGAGTTCCAGGTCGACGCACGGGGAGTCACCCTCAAACCGACGACGATTCGGGTAGACAAGATCATGGGACAGATCCGCCGGGCGCTCGACCAGGATACACTGTCACCCGCCGAGGCCGCCAAGCTCGCCGGAAGAGTGTCTTTCCTGACACAAGCGGCCTTCGGATCCGTCGCAAAGGCCGCGACGAAAGCGATCTACGCCCGAGCAGCCGACACAGCGGCATGGACGGCGGACTCCCTGTCCGACGGTCTCTCGGCGGCCCTACGATCCTTGGCCAGGATCTTGCCGACGATCAGACCCAGGTTCATTCCGTTCGACGCCAAGGAGATGGAGGTCGCGATCCTGTACGCCGACGCCTTCTTCACCGACGGGGAGACCAGGCACAAGGCCGGCCAGGTACCCCAAGGGGTACGGCCGACGAAGAAGGCGGCGAATGGATGGGGATACGTGCTACGCATCGGCGACCAGGTCTTCTTCGACCACGGCGTCGCGCCGGAATGGTTTGTCAAGCTCTTCTCGACGAGGAAGGCATACATCTACATGCTCGAAGTGCTGGCCCAGCTCGTCGCCTTCGTCACCTTCGGCGCCCGTCTGCCGCCGGCCATTATAGCATTCATCGACAACACCGCCGGACAGGCAGCCCTTACGAAAGGATACGGGAAAGACGCCGCGGTGAACGGCATGATCTCGGCCTTCTGGACGCTTGCGGCGCACCAGGGGTGGTTCGTCGAGTTTGAGCGAGTTCCCTCCAAGGCCAACGTCGCCGACGCAGTCTCCAGAGACGACTTCAGCAGGGCGACGGCCGAGGGATGGCACAGAGTCTCCACGCCGACCGACGAGATACTCTCCATCTTCGCCCGATCGGCGCAGGACCTCGAATATGCCACGACGGAGGCGGCGGACGACCTCCTTCAGCTGGCCAACGGCTTCCACGTCTGAGCCGGCGCGGGGTGGAGAGTCGGTGCGCACGGCGGGTGCAGAATGC